CTTTTTTTCTCTCTCTCTCTCTCTCTCGTCTTTTTGAATACAGACGCATCAGGGCGCGCAGCCGAGCTGAAAGGCAGAAAACGATCAAGGATCTCGCGCGCGGCTCTGGTGTGTGTGTGTACGCGAAAAAGAGAGAGAGAGAGACGCGCAGTTGCAAGCGCCTATGTTCACAATAGAGCATCTGTATAAGTGCTCGCCGGTAAGAAGCGTACATACGTATACGTGCACGAATAGAGAAAGAGCAAAAGCACGACTGTGTGTACACACAGACACGGACACGAGTGAGTGCGAGTCGGCGTAAAAGTTGCTGCGGCTACTATTGCAATCGCGCCTTTTCGTATACCTCGCTCGGCGCGGCTACCAGCCTCTGCGACGCGTGTACGTGTGTGTGTGTGCATTATGCAGTCGGTCGTTTGAAGTCCCACTTGCAGCGTTGGGAAGAAGGGAACTTGCTCGGGTTTTAAAGTCTCTCTCTCTCTCTCTCTTGCAGGGCTGAAGCTTCATGGTTTTATTTACAGCCTCTGTGTGTGTGTGTGTGTGTGTGCGGTGACTTTCGACCTATCTTTCCCTTTCTCGGCTCTCGCTCCCTCTATCTCTCGCTGTATAATGTACCTAGACGCGTGCACTTTTTTTTAAACTTTCATCCTTTGTCTTATTGGAAAAAAGCCGGGCCTGTGCTCGCTCGGATCGCTTCTTCTTTCTGCGTACGTATTATACATATACAACTAGAGCACAAATTTTACTGCGTTTCACTTATTTTGAAATTGATAAATAAAGTTTTAGAACTGCGTTAATGTAAATTACGAACATTGAATTATTTGACTCTCGTCGGAGACCGTCGCTCGTACATAATATCGCACACATCGCATCGTGAAATACGTTCGTCAAAGTTAATTTTCAACCGAGCTCACGGTTCCTCCGGAGGATAATTATGAATTTTAAAACGAAATATAATTGCGAGTCTCGGATTACGTATACGCGCGCACGTAGCCCATAAAGATAAATCAAAAACAATAGGTAGTACATGGCTCATCATGGACAAGCCGGTGGGTATGGCGCTGCGCGCGCCCAGGTATTAATGCGAAAAAAGCTTGATACATGGCAGCGATTAGCGAATTTCCATCTCGACGCCCACAAAGAATATATGTATTATAAGAAGACGAGCTACGTAGCAGCGGCAGCAGCATCCCGTGCCGTGCGTAGACTTATATCCATCTGGCGCATCTTACGCTCGTGTGTGTGAGAGTAAAGCTCTTTGTAACGACGGTCGGCGCTCGTAATAAATAACTCCATCACGCAGAGTCGCGTACCAGCCGAGAGTGAGACAGACAGACAGAGAGAGAGAGAAGGAAAATCTCATAACCCGACTAATTCCCGCATCCCGCGCATTATGTTTATGATGTACGGTATAATTATGGTGATAATTTAGAGGGTGGTTGTATACATATTCGCGCGAGCAACGTTGTTGATGCGGGCTAGCTCCGTAGAGGCGCGCGTTTAGAGAAGAGAAAGAGAGAAAGAGCTGGAGAACGCACGACGACGACGAGGAGTAAAAAAAGAGCTTGTCACTTACGGACGTCCCTTTCCTTATCGTCCCGGGCTCTTATGGGATTCATAATGTCCTGGCATTACTTTATCCCCGAAAAGACTGAGGAGCCCCACACTGCTCGAGCTTGGAATGAAATACCGGTCGAGTGCGCGATGATCAAGGGATGCGCAAATGGATTAACATTACGAGTTGTGTCTCCAGGATAGAAAAAACTAATTTATTTTCCACTTGGTCAATTTTGTGTTTACCGTACATTTTTGCCCGATACTTGACAGATTGTAACTCATCTCATATTGCTTGCCTTGTATTGTGCGCTGTATCGTGAAAGAGCAAAGTCACAAGCGACGATTTGCATTGGAGTCGGTTGTTTCGTGTGAAAATGGACATTTTTGAAATTTAATTCAAAAGCGAGAGCTAGAGCTTAGCTCTTCATCATCAACCTGTTCAATTTATACAAATCGAACATTTTTTTGTACCTTGCGAGTTTACAATTCGCCATCTGGTGGTAGAACAAAAAAGCTCAGAATCATGTACGACACTTTTGCTTATGATAAATCTTTTTAAAACACAACAAGAATTCTGGAATATCAATACATTTTTCTACAAAAAACATTTCATCTTTAAAATCATTAAGCAGCTATGTAACAGGAAAATTATTAAGACACCTACATTTGAAGCATGGATCGAAAATTAAGACGTCAGCCTGTTTTATCTTACCACTTCATTATTTTTCCTTATACACATATACTGCTGTAGTCTTTTGTTAATAAAATTGATATTACTCAAGTTAATGCATATTCAAAGATCGTTCTTAGGTTTATTTTCGATCAATGGGTAAGAAAAGGCATTTTATCAAATCACTTCGTTGACTTTCATCCAGAGCGAGTATGAAAACGAATGTTTTTTGAAATATTGTCAGTTTAAAGAATAACAATTGTTCTAATGTCGTAAATAATTATTGAATTTAATTGTCATTTTGTTCGTATTTGTCGAATTGTTGCATTCGTTTGACACAATCCCATTTTCAGCGGATAGTTACTTTGACGAAGCAGCAGCCAGCAACAGTGGAACGAAAAAAGGAAAAAAAAACGACATTTGAAAAACAGTAGTAGTAGCTGCCGAAAAAAGCAATATGGGGGCTATGCAATTGAATTAGCCACTGGTCGGTGGACTCTGACAATGTGCGTATATATATATGGGTCAAAATAATACTTTTTTACAAAACCGTGCGCACGTATGTCACCGATCTTGACGCGCTTTTGGTATGTTATAGTACATGGAAAAAAGGTCCCAAAAAAAAATTTTTAGACCCCCTCCCCCCTCCTACCCCCCACTTCCGGTATAAACGTCCATTTTCGATCTATATTTTTTCTGAGGACATGAAGCAAGTAAAAAATCTGAAAAAATTCATAAAAATACTTTTCCACAATCCAAACAACCTTGAATTTTTTCAGATTTTTTGAGTGCTTCAGGCCTTCAGAAAAAATTATTGAAAATTTCAAAAATCGAGATACGGCGGTATGAGCCGATGTAGTACTCGGAAATTTTTTCAGTTATTTTTCGCATTAAAAAACATAACCTCAATTTTTTTCAGATTTTTTCAGATTACCTAACGCACCTTTTGAAGCCAAAAACCGATTTTTTTGACGAAAATAATTTTTTTAGGACAGTACGGAGCCTCGAAAAATCTGAAAAAAATTTTTTCTTGTTTTTTTCATCAAAATACGTAATCTCAAATTTTTTCAGATTTTTTAATTGAAGGCGATAGCTTCTAGGGCCGAAAAATGCTATTTTTAACAAAAAATGGTTCCTAGAACCCGATGGTTCCGGTGAAAAAATTTGAAAATATTTTTTTTGAATTCCTTGTCAAATTTTAATAAATTTTGACCGTTTCAAAAGTTCGATTGAAGCTTCCTAGCTCATTTTAGAGCATCAAACGAGTTTTATCATTCCTTAATGTCTTCAGAAACGTCTTCAGATATTTTGCACTAATCTTTGTCCTGCTCTAAAATGAGCTAGGAAGCTTCAATCGAACTTTTGAAACGGTCAAAATTTATTAAAATTTGACAAGGAATTCAAAAAAAATATTTTCAAATTTTTTCACCGGAACCATCGGGTTCTAGGAACCATTTTTTGTTAAAAATAGCATTTTTCGGCCCTAGAAGCTATCGCCTTCAATTAAAAAATCTGAAAAAATTTGAGATTACGTATTTTGATGAAAAAAACAAGAAAAAATTTTTTTCAGATTTTTCGAGGCTCCGTACTGTCCTAAAAAAATTATTTTCGTCAAAAAAATCGGTTTTTGGCTTCAAAAGGTGCGTTAGGTAATCTGAAAAAATCTGAAAAAAATTGAGGTTATGTTTTTTAATGCGAAAAATAACTGAAAAAATTTCCGAGTACTACATCGGCTCATACCGCCGTATCTCGATTTTTGAAATTTTCAATGATTTTATCTGAAGGCCTGAAGCACTCAAAAAATCTGAAAAAATTCAAGGTTGTTTGGATTGTGGAAAAGTATTTTTATGAATTTTTTCAGATTTTTTACTTGCTTCATGTCCTCAGAAAAAATATAGATCGAAAATGGACGTTTATACCGGAAGTGGGGGGTAGGAGGGGGGAGGGGGTCTAAAAATTTTTTTTTGGGACCTTTTTACCATGTACTATAACATACCAAAAGCGCGTCAAGATCGGTGACATACGTGCGCACGGTTTTGTAAAAAAGTATTATTTTGACCCATATATATATGTGCAAGCGTACACACGCGTACAACGAGAGCTGCACTCGCCGAATTCTCGCTCCGCAACATCAGCTCGCGCGTGTACACGTATAGCAGCCAACAGACTTGCGAACAATAACACGCGTCACCCAACTATACACAAAAAGAGAACGAGCGCGAGAGGGCAGAGCAGCAGCCACTTTTTCAGCAAGGCAGTAGCGGCAAAAAAAAAGCGAGCGAGCGCGATGTTCACTGGCTAAAAAAGACTGCCTATATGTGCGCTGACCATGCACACACACACCCACACATAGGCTTTACTCGCGCGTAGTACAGTCGTGAAACTGCAAAATCAACAGAATTAAACATAGCAGCTGCTGCTGCTTTTCCAAGGGATCTCCTGTGCTGCAGCGCGCGAAAACACTTGCGTATACGCGCACGCATTCGGCGTGCAAACAGCCCCCAGGGCCTATCAGCGTGTCATAAGCGAATTGACTTTACTTTCTCTCGCTCTATCTCACTCGGCCAGTTGCTTTGTTCCTATACTTTTATTAGTCAAGTGCACAACGCTGCTATTTCGCGCTTCGTTTGTCCCTAATCCGTATACGAGCGAATGTCATCATTCGTCCTTGTTGATTTTATGATTCTACCATTGGCCCTTGGATATGGTGTTTACGCACTTCTATCTTCGAATTGATGAGGTTTTCCAGATAAACAGATGGACTCCATTAAACCGATTGCTTTTATTTTGCTGCTTTATTCGATATTTCAAGCGACATATGTTTTCGAAATTTACAAGCTAATAATAACCCTCTATACTTATTTGTAAGAGAGAAACAATTACAAATTATAAAATTGCGTTCTTCGATCAACTTGTTTCATTGATTTCCGTACAATATTTACTTTGAGTCAATTTATCCATGTACTCCTTCCATTTGGTTTTGAAAATTTTTTTTGCTGCATGTTTCTCTTGGTCGTCGAGACCGCTATAAGTAATGGAATTCAAAGCTAATTGCTTCAGAGATCTGAGATCTGCACTTCTCGACATAATACCGACGAAAGTTTCGTAAAAGTCGGACGATAAACTTTTAGCATCCCAATAAGATGGATCATCGCTTGACACGACAACGGGCAAATTGTTAGCGAAAAATTCGCTTGCTGGATGATTACGTAAATCATCGACCAATTTCAAAACTTGATTCGATATTGGATTAATTTCAATGGCTATTCCCTTATTTTTCACGATTTCCATAACTTTTGGATGCTTAGGCAGAGCAAAGCTGTTGAAGCGTAAAACAGTTGAATATTGTAAATTTGTTTCTGGAAAAAATGTTGACTCACCCATGTCCAATACGCTTGGTGTTAAAAAGAACTGCGTCGACCAGGTTAAGGTCTGAAGGATGTCCATACCAATTGGTCTCACCAGCATGAAAGAAAAATTGTGTATCTGCTGGAAATGTTTCTAATACATGTGCAACTGAATAGAGACTCGGAAGTTTATCTTCTTGACCAACAAAATCGAAACCGATGATCTTATCTGAAAAAGCTGCTTTTAATTGCATATAAGTTTGAACTATCTCCTTGAGTCTTTCGGGAGATGGATTTCTGTGTGGAGAATATATCATTTTCATTCCTAAGAAGTCTGGGTGTTCGTTAGTAAATCTGTAAAAGTGAACACACGTTCCAAGTGTTATAAAAAATTTTTGGATCTAAAAAAGGATAAGAGAGAGAGAAAGAGTGACAATTACTTTTTAACAATTTTAAAAGCTACTTCAACCGATTTGACAGTATCAAGATAACGTCCGTCTAATTCGTATAACTGAGATGCACCACTGCGAATTTCGACAAACATAATATTATCTTTGTACACTTCCTCTAGGACACCACGAAGATATTTTTCAAAGACAGGTCTAAAAGTATTATCATTATCTCATAAATCATTGAAATCAACAAATCTGTGTATCAATTATACCTGTATGTTATAATGCCTCTTACGGTGTCAAATATTTCTTCAAAATCATTCCAGACGACATTTAAATCTTCGAATTTAGATCTTTGTAAAACTAAACTTTTTTTTATTTTTGCGTCAATTTTAGGGTCTCGTTTACGCATAGCAGACAAAAGTTTCCAGTCACATTTTTTTCCCGGAGGATTTTTCGAGAATACAAATTTATATACTAAATTTTTAGTTTTACATATGTACAAGTTTGGTTCATATGTAAATTTCATAAGCTCTTCAGGTGGTAACATGGATGATATGTGGGCATGAAACAGTCCACCTTTTGGCATTTTACGAATCATTTGATATACAACGGAATTTTTAATTTTTTTACTGACTTCTAGATAGTTTTGAGCCGGCAGAAATTCAGTCGGATGCAGATATCCTGTAAAAATATTTCATTGAATGAAGAATAATATTTCAGGTAAAATTAAATGATTATACCGTGATCGACTTCATCAAATTTAGCTTTCATTAAACATTGATTAGCTAGCTCTTCAGCTGGACTTAGTCCAATCGATGACCCAAAAGCCATTTTGTTTTCTTCTTCAATTATCTTCATCCGATTGTGGATATAAGAACGAGATAGAGGATTGCCATCATTTGACACAATTAATGAAAATAAAAAAATCAATATAGAGAAAGAAATCATTTTAGAAGCTAGATTGATTTTGGACAATCGAGAGCTTTTGTAAGTTAGATATTCTTAAAATATGTTGTGCAGAAGAAAAATCGTGTTTAAAGCATTAAAATATTGCAGTATAAAAAGATTGTAGGAGTACTAAAATTTTACGTAACTGACGTATGAAAAACTATGACGTAATTAAATTATTTGAATATTGATTAGTGATAGCGATTACTGCAGATCTTACTATGAATAACTCATGTCAATAGTTTGTATTGAGTTTGACCTTGACAGTATTTACTGATCTTGCATGATATTGTACTAGTCAAACCGAGTGCAAAATGAACTACACGATTCTCATCTCAACGGTAATATATTTAAAATTTTCTTTTTAAAATAGTTAGAGTTTCCCACTCTTTTCAGGGCGGAATATTGAAAAGATAATAAAAAAATTATAAAATTTATAGAATGAAAATAGATTTTTCACTCAAACAACATTTTTCAACTATCAAGATTTATTAATATTTCTACGTTTGCTTTGCGGAAAATGTGAATTCACGTTAGTCAGCTGATGATTATAGTATTACGACACGATGACTCGTCTCTTTTCCGCCTCAAGGTAATCATTATTCTGGCGAGTTTAAAATGCCAACATTCTCAGTAGTATTTTGACTTGCATTGAATGAACAGCGTGCAAGCGTTACAAGTTACAATCTCTATAAGTTTTTGTGTTTGAATTTTTTCCATCAAGTTGATTAACAAAATATTCAAAAATTATGGAACGATGGAATGGAAAAGTTGCTGTAATAACAGGAGCATCTGCGGGCATAGGATTAGCTACAGCTAAAGCTTTGGTGAACCATGGTCTTATTGTCGTTGGGCTGGCAAGAAGAAAATCAAAAATGGAGGTAATAGCAGAAATATTTTGCTCTGTATTGTCAGAATGAGATTTTTTAGTGGAATCGTGTGAATTATAGGAAGAAATGTCAAAAGTCAAAGGACCTGGAAAATTTTTTGCAAAAGAATGTGACATTACGCGCGAGCAAGATATTGCTGCAGCGTTTGCTTGGATAAAAGATAATTTAGGAACTGTAAATATTTTGATAAATAATTCTGGAGTTCTAAGAGAAAAAACAATGGAAGGTAAATAAAATGATCGACTTTCATCGTATACCTCATGAGTAAATTTTAATTATTATATTTCTTGTTAAACCGTAGAGGCAAGTATGGAAGAATTGCAGTTTGTCATAAATGTAAATGTTGTTGGACTTATATCTTGTACCAAACATGCAATCAAACTCATGAAAGCCAATGGTCAAGAAGGGCACATCGTAAATATAAACAGGTAAGACACATTTTTTGCTTGATATGAAATTTTAGACTTAGAATTTGAGCAATATCATGAGATTTTATTTTTAGTATCGCTGGACAACAAGTTCCCAAAATAGAGGGAAAATCTTATAACGTGTATTCTGCAACAAAATTTGCAGTAAGATCCATTTCTGAAACATTGACTCATGAATTATTGGGTAATAAAATTCGAGTCTGTGTAAGTTTAATTGTTTATAAACTATATCAATAAATTGTTACGTTAAAACTAAATATTTCAATCGAAATTGCAGAACATCAGCCCCGGAGTTGTAAAAACTGAAATATTTCAAGAAGCTGGAGTAGATCCGTTCTTCCTTAATTTAGTTCCAGCCTTAGAACCAGAAGATATAGCGCAATCAATTCTCCACGTCATAAGTGCCCCAATTCGAGTGCAAATTACTGAATTAACTATTAAACCTTTAGGAGAAATATTTTAAGAGAGTTCAAGAAAAATTGAGGAGCTCATATATTTCGCCACCCAAAATTGTTATAAATTTTTAAATATGAAAGATAAAATGTAAAACGAATGAGCTACATGTTTAGTTTGCATTGAAAAAGTAGCAGTATTATGAGATCAATTTAAGTTTTAAGATGTACACTTGTTATAGTTCAGATCACCTCTGTAGATCTAAAAAAAGATGTATTACTGTATTAAATTTGAGTAAAAATTGTTGAATATCCATGTTATTGAAAAAAAAAAAAAATAGTTTTCATTTATAGACAATTTGATTAGCTCATCTCTCTGACTTTCTCGCGACAGACTTTATTCGCCGAGAGATAAACAATGAAGCTGCACTACTGCCAGTTAGATAATACTCAACATTTATTTCATGTATGGCAAACATATAAGAGAGAAATAAAAAAAAGACTCTGTTAGAGACAGATCTCATGCGAGCTCGTATGCGTGTGTGCTCGGATCGAGTCCCTCAATTGCACACGTCAACGCACGCAGCGCGACTGCAGCAGTTTCATCGACAAACGTATTGTCTGCGCGTATATATACGTGGATTTACTCTGTCTCTCTCTCTCCCTCTTCCCTCTGTGCTGTCTGCGCGTGAGGATTGACGTTGTTTTTTTCCATTTGCGATCTTCAATTGGAGAGATTTTTTTTATTGTTGTGCATGAAATACATGCCTTGATTGCCTGTTTAGCCTAGACGGGTATAACGTGGTACTGCAACGAGGAGAGGAACTGTCTGCTGTTATAAGCCATGAAAAATTCTGATAAAGTCAGTTTTAGTTTGAAAGTTACAAAAATGAAAAAAAAAAAAAAATAAAAAAAGGATTACGATACTTGGAATACGAGTCCAAAATAATTCCCCCGAAATATTGTGATCTGAAGATAGAGTATAGAACACAAGAAACCTGCATATTAATTCATGCGATAGAGTATCCTCGATAGCTCCATCAGTTAATAGACAAGTCGGCATGTTACTTTTTTGCCCTTGGCTTTGACGACTCTCGACCCTTTCAGCTCTCGATCGCAGAGAGAGAAATCCGAGCGCAACAACATTGCGTGAAAGCCGGCATCTTCGTCGCCGGATTTACTTGGCACGCGCACGCGACTATATACGCACAATACGTATAATATAAAGAGATAACGCGGTAAAGAGCTCATGGCGGTGTTTAGCATCTATTTGGCAGCGCGAAAGAAAGATTATATATATATGCAGCAAGTAACACGAGAAGTGCGCAACGCACTTAATTGTTTCAAGCAGGCATTATATTGCCAATCAAGCTCGTCGGAACGCCGGCTTTTATTACGTTCGCTATACATACATACTCTCTCGTCTCTCTCTCGGATTGGTGCGCCTGCCTATACGTCCACGGCGTACGTATATACACGCTCAATAGGGAGTATTGTTCATTAGCGTCTGCCTCGTTGAATGACGCGTATTGTGTGTGTGTGTATATGTTTTCTGCAATGTAGCGGACGAGTAGCTCATCTCGTCGTCTCGTTTTTGTTTGCCCCCAAAGCCGTGCCGATGATGATGATGATGAGTCTTGCGCTTTTGCTATTGGTTTATATACATAATAGACGTCTTCATCAAACTGGTTGAAGGATTCACTCTGACTCCATCGAGGTGCGCGCTGCAACAACAACGGAGAGTATCGCATCCAAGAAAGTATATACCCTCGATCGTTATTATACCGCGAGTCAATGAACGAATTTCTCGCTGCACAAACTTATTGTTGAAGCGACTAATGGGCGGTTTTCATTCACAATGACTTATAAATATCAGCGGCCAGAAGACGAGAGGTTAATTAATTTCATTCCACAGAAAAATCATCCGTTGTAAAGAATATTTTTCAATAGCGATGATCTGGAAATAACGTATAAAAAAAAGGGTAATGTACTTACGAATCTCTTTTATTTTTCAAACTTTATTTTAAAACCCTTATAAATATAATGAGCTGTTTTCAAGTCGTAAAGTGAGAAAAAACGAGAGTGTTTGGATGAACCCTTGGGATGACTTTAAATTTTCGCTTGAGATAAGATACCCTGCAAATTGAATGTTTGATGTACGCACTTTATGTATCACATTTTCTTGATACTTAAGCTCGTATTACACTTTTTTTCTTACTCCAATACTGTATTGTGTTCATAGGTATAAGAAAAATGAGAAATTTTAACTTGAGGGTATCGTGCTGAACAAAGATGTCCCTTTTTCGAATGATAAGCATATGATCACTTTTTTAAAAGAGCTTCAATTTGATGCACTATATTTAATTCGATGACTTCTTCAGATTATTAGTTAATCCTTTTTTTAGTTAAGAAATGTATCATTTTTAACTGGTAATTCTGCATATTATTATAATTTGTATTTTAAATATTGATTTACCTTTTGTTTGTTGATGAACAATGAAGCTATGTGATTCAAATAAAACAAAGAATCTAGTCATTTTTCACAATGCAAAAACTCTAAAAGTTCATCAATTTCTTTAGTGAAAAAAGAGTAACCAGACAAGCCACCGATACTGTCGCTCTCGCGGTATCAATTTTTAAAAATACGCGCATCCCCATGCTTATCGGATTACTCGGTGGTGGAGTTTTGTCCGCGGCTGCAGGTACATGCACTGCACACGAGCCGGATTTTCATTTCCGCGAGTAGTACAGCGCAAAGCGCGCGTAAATCAAAGTCGCGCCTCGATCGTAAAAAATCTCGCACTGTTTTATCTTATCATGAGGGGGAGAGCTGCTCGTGCAGCGCCGTCATATACCGCGTGTGCTGCCACCCCGCGAGCTTTCGGTTGAACCCTGCGTTACCGCTTGACGTTCGGCGTGTTATACCACTCTGCCACGACATCGGCTGCGCCGAGCTTCGCAGCGCATAAAAGCGCTGCAAATTTAAGTCTATTATTACCGACGAGGGTGTTGGATGGAATTCATGAAAATACCGAGCTTAATATTTGAGAGTATGGCATTTAAATTATTATTTAAATTATTAAATGTTTACAACGGTACTCTGGTGTTCGTGTATTGAAAAAGTCATAGGAATTATCATTTTATATTTTATACAGTAGCCGAGAAAGTTCTTATCGTTCAGTATTCATGTGATTAATTCAAACGAAATCTCTTGCAAACATAAATCTGAATTTTTAAACTATACGACGCTCATGTAATTTTTCTAAATGAACGATGGATTTTACGACTGCTCGACATTTTTCCGCAGACTCCGGTGAACCACATACAGCTCTCAAGTGCCGGTGCGCAAGTGTAACTCAAGCGTAATAATAGCTCTTTTCCCTCCTGTCTCTATTCTTGTAAATTTATACTTTTATTACTGCTATCAAATTTATTATTATTCGGCCTTGAGAAATATATTCATAAACTGGCGCTGCGACCCGGAGCCGGAATAATCCTCGCGGCGCGCGAGGCAGTGCTCGTGCTGCAGCTCGAGAGAATCTATACATCGTGGCATCTGTTCGGCAACGACGATTTACGACGGTGTCACCCGCAGTGTTTACGAGCCCGCGTGGAGGTCGCGTTATCTACGCCGCCACCGCCGCCGCTGCTAGCTGTACTCTATACTGCTCCGCACCCTTGCACCTCGCGATCGGCTTTGAAAAGGGGAACTCGCGCCCGTTTGAGATCTACAAAGGATGACTCTATATGCCGTTTTATGTGCGTGATGATATTGTATTTTTAGGTGATGTTTTCGTCTGTGCGCGCATAAAGGAGGAATTGTAAATCTCTGGGGTAATGCTTGTAGCGTGCGTGTAAAATATCGCATGCATTTTTCAGATGAATCAAAAATCAAAGTGTTATCCGACATGTAAATTTATACTACATCTTAATGCACCGTATTTAATTTCACTTTGCATTATTATGTTCTGAAATAAAAAGATACTTTTTTCACTCTAACAGCTTGTAACGGGATCTTACAACGTAGTTGAATGAATTAATTTTTTTCAGCAACTTAATGATTACAATTTTTTTTAAACAAAATCGTCCACTCTATTTTTACATCGCTGCTTGGTAAGAGAACAGAGACTCGTACGAATTGCAACCTCACGTGAAGATTGCTCGCACGCGATTTTCTTTTTCCATCATTAGTTAATATAATTGCTCGATAAAGAATAATAGTTATCGTGTGAGTCGCTGAGCGTGTCCGTAATGACTGAATAGATGAATTCGAGCACGTAAGGTGTTTTATTCACGAGCTATAATCAAAGAAGAAAGTTTTTTTCATAAATAACATATCCGTGGACTTTTGTTCATTCATTAGCAGCAGTACACCGTACGTTTATAATTTTTCTTAAACTAGAAGAAAATAAATTTTATGTTTGGAGAGAACAACATTTATTGCTACTCGTCTTGTTATGCTGCAGAATCAAAAATCTTCCCCTATGAACAGCTTCAACAGAATGTGTCTTATAGAGGCGCGCATACAAATAAACTTGCCATGCGTTACGTAAAGTCACATCATCGATAGGAAAGCGAAACTAGCAAGGTATAGATTTTCGTGATAATTACAAACGTAATGAATGTACTGTCGGTCGAAAACAAACGGAAACAACTATTCACCCCCGGAAGGTCTCGTGAAATGCTGAATCAGTTTAAATCTTAACTACTTGAAATATTTGCTTCCTGTAATTACTGACTTACCAAGTTCATGTATTTTTATAATTATTTATTTTTCAAACCATGAAAATGTGTATCAATAGAAATAAAAATGTATTATTTTTATAGAATATTATTTTTTATTTATTATTTTTCACTTTATTCAATATTTTGTCAATTTCAGCGACGAAGCTCTAGATTTCCTTCGATACCTGCAACGCCTTGTACTTCTCCATCCTCTTCGCTAATTTTTCCACCTAATTCTATGTTTCCATATTTCGTGTTGACTAGCTTCTTCGCATTTTTAAATTTTACATTATCGTTATTCTCGTCGATCGTTTTCATGGGGCCAATTTTTTTCATTTTGTAAGTCGTGTTCAATCCCATGGCCGCCTTCAAAGCGTCGCCCGTTCTCTTGCTCAATCCTGCGACCACGTTCAAGCTGGCATTATCGTCTCCAACGAGCCTGTGCCCACCTTCCACGTACCACGACGTTTTATCGTCTTCTTTGTTGATTCCTCCGTGTAATTGAGTTTTCGGTAAAATCAAGGAAGCTTCACCGCCTATTTGTTTTTTCAAGTCACCGTCCATCGTTTTGTCCAGTGAACCATTGACACTGAGTTTTCCATATTCACTGTCCAACATTCTGTGCAGAAATGCAAGATACCACGAGTTCTTTTCGTTTTCCGTCAAAATTTCGCCCTTGATGTGACCAAAGTCGCTCGGCTTACCAAGTGAAGCTGTTGCACCCATTACTTTTTTGACCTTCCCACTGGGAGATTTGTTGACTCCTGCCATTAGCTCGACATTTGCATGGTCATTGTCCACCAATGTATGGCCAGCCTCAAAATGCCACCCTGTTTTGTCTCCTTCTTTTCGAATACTGCCGCTGAGTCCGGTATCTTTGTCAATGGCTAGAGAACCATCTATTCCATACATGGACTTTATTGGTCCCTCGAATGGTTTTTTTACTCCAACATTGACGTCCAAACTTCCGTAGGATTTGTCGAAAAATTTTTTAAAATAGTCAACAGCCCACGCAGATTTACCATCTTTTCGGACGAAAGTACCATGGATCTTACTATCATTTCCAATGGGTATTAAACCTTCGACAGCTACGTCTGTATTCCATTTTCCGTAGGTCGGTTTCGTCAGTTTGGCGTTGAAATCAATACCTCCTGTTTCAGGATCCAATCCTTTACGTGAAATTTCAGTTTCCCATCCATGTGGGCGAAATCCACCAGATACTCTAGTTTTGTTTGTAATCAGCCAGTCTAAATCTAGTTTTTGAGCAAGTTTGTTAATGTCATACTTGGGCACCCAAGGTACGATTTGATTCTTTTCGTTATCGGCTTTTTCATCTTTAGGTTCTTGCTTTTTTTCTTCTTCTTTACTTCCAATTCCAAAGAAATCGAATGCGGCATGTGGTTTAGATAAAACAACATTAACTGATAACAATACAATTAAAAGAAACGAAAATAAAAAATGTAGGACTTTCATTTTTTCTGTAAAGTATTGTGCTAAATTTTGATTTTTTGTTCTAGATCAGAAACTGTCTTTAACAGTACTAGAAAGAAGTTTATGGTATATATTTAAATTTTCCTCAAGATTCAAAATGTAAATTGACACGAGGAATGGTTTTGCACGACTGTTGTATGCAAGAACGTGTGAAATTACTTTTTAATAACTTACTATCTTTATTTGTTACAAATTTGTTTTTTAGTTTTTTAACTTCACACGATTTTGATGATTCGTCATTTTTCCTCAATTTAGTGGATAGTGTAAAATTCACAAAAATTTCGGATTTTAGTGAATTTCTTAACATTTATAAGTTATTATTTGAATAAAGCTTAGAGGAAATGAATTATTGCCTGATTTTAATAATAATAGTTCTGCGAAATCAAACCAAATTTATCTATGTAATGAATGCATGACTCAGGCCCCAACGGAAAATGACTAATTTTCGATGCGCCATACGGAGATGAAAAGCCACGATGTAAACAGCAGCTAATAACGTCTTCCTCTTTCGCTTCCTTTTTCTTAAGTTGCGCCGCGGGATATCATTAGCAGGCCCCCGGGCCTGGCGAAAATTCCTAAATCATATTACGGTATATCCAATAACATTCAATAAAAGCGGCGCGTTCGTAGCAGGGCAGGCGTACTCGCGCGAGCTTTCGCTGCTCCGACGAGGTGTGTGTACATTCGAGTTAACGAGATTGATGTATTATTAAGAGAAAGCGACGCTCGTGTACGCTCGCTATACAGCCTCGCTGCGACGCGGCATTATATTTGTATAAATTATAATAGCGTTGGGGTAAATTTTTTTTCGCCGTGTCAGGGCTTTGCGTGCCTGTACATATTATATACACGCGTACACACGGACTTGAATAAATAATGCAGCTGAGTAAGCGCAAAGAAATACAAATTTACCGAGGAAAAAAAGTTTCCCATAGAGACAAGAGAGGAGAGGATGTAACTTTACGCTCGCGCGGTGTGTATATATACGCGCGGAGGAGCGAAGAATTATGTGCGTGGGGAAAAATAAAAATGTTTACGTTACTGCCCGCGCATAGATCGCATCGTTTAATTATTTTTCAGCCGTAAAAAAAAGAGCTGCCACTGCGCACTCATTTTTATTTTCGAAAATTGACGCCCGTTATTATTATTATTCATCGTCGTCGCAGGATATAGCTACGCGACAATCCCAGAGCGCAAATGAAGGTACCGCAGGTTCGTTTCGTACACTTTGCTCTCCAAAATATACGTCGACTCCGCGAGCGTAATAACGTACTTTCCTAGACTCAGTCCTCGGAGTTTCTTTTTTTCTCCGAACCTATAAACGGGGCTTATCGCTTTATACCAACGGCGGAGCCTATCATACGCGAGACAGTGGCGCGCGGGAGCTTATGGATTTTTGTGCGGGCGCGCGACACGTTAACAATGTACCTATATACACCCTGTCTGTTGTACACACAATCTCCAGGGCACTGCACTGCTCTCTCTAACTCTGTCTCTCTTTCTTTCCGAGAGCTATTGATTTTCGCATGAATTTTTATTATCGGCTTGCTACATCTACCTCGAGCTCGAGCGCGAGAAAAGCCGATACATGTCACACGCGCGTATATATACACTATAGTACTCGCGCGCATGCACACGCGGCTGCTATACGTGGTGGGTTTGTGACGCTCTTATCTGGCCGTATAATAATACCCAGAGTGTATACACAAAACCCGCAAGAGAAAAATTACAGTTGTCGAGGGCGTCGCTGAGCTAGCCGCGCCGAAAGCGTATATATCGCGGAAACACGCGACAGTACTTTGTTGTTGGCTTTTTGCACATTTTCTTTTTCGTCGAAGTGCAATTTCTTCAGGCTCGTTGGTTATGGGACTCGATTCTTAGACCAGAGTCTTTTTCGCGTCATGATTGGTCGGCGCCCGAGAGCTTTTGCCGCGGCGACTTAACCGTTTTGATTACTCCTCGGCGCTCGTGACTTTTTAATGTCTATGTAGCATCTGTAATTCTATATTTCTCTCTCTGTACGTGTTTGTGCAGGATTCGGTCGGTTAAACGGTAACACACACATGATTAATTCTTTCGTAGATCGGAGAAGTTTTAGCCATCAGCAAAGAAGTAGACTGGGCGACAACGAAGGACCAAATCAAAAAATTTATTTCCGTTAATATTTATTTACAAAATCGTTGAAATTCAATACAATAAGAAAATTAATTTTAATGTTACATTTTCTTAACTCCATCCTCGACTTGCAAAGATCTTGATGTTTTTGTATTATTTTAGTTAAAAAAATTTAAATATACAATAAATACACGTACGCAAATAAAAAGTAGCTGTAGACCACGAAAAATCCATTATTGCGTTCATATCGAATATAAGTTTAAATTTTCCCCGCCAGATGTCATGATCGATTCCAAAAGTAAAATGATTAAGTTTCGTAGTTATTGCAAGAAAATATGACGCTGATATCTACAGCAGTTATTGCATCTTTGGTGCATCGTGTTCACGATTTGCCGTATTTTTAATGTACAAAAATAATGATCTAGCATTCGCTAGTCAATCAGTTTAGGCAATAAGGACAACACTTTTTGTGTGTCATTCGACAAGAAATTTGTCGATCGTCAAATTTGTCGATACTGGTGATGTAATACTTACATGGTATGTACTCGTGAATATGAAAGTGATTGTAAGAGTGTTGTATGTTTATGTATAAACTTGTTTGTTATAGCCTGAAGAGGTCTAGAAACATGCTAGACGAAACGTTGCAAAATAAAATTTGACGATCGACACATTTCTTGTCGAATGACACACAAAAAAGTGTTGTCCTTATTGCCTAAACTGATTGACTAGTGAATGCTAGATCATTATTTTTGTACATCTATAGCAGTTTTGCATGGATGCGAAATATTGCACTCGTGCCTTCTGCGCTTGCGGCCACAGAGAGACTGAGAGACACCTTGCTACCTTTACGCGCTCTCCATATATTGCCGGACTCATACACTACACTTTTCTTCATAAGCTAACCCATTTTCATGAGACATATCATTCACATACAATTGAAGATACCGATAATGAATTTTTGGTGCGCCTTTTAGGAAAATTTAATTCCTGCAAATCCGAGTGAAAAACAGCAATTTCACCCACGCAGTGAAAAAATAAAGTCCCACACTATTGCAATAATGTTACAGTACTGATCTACTTTCTTATCATTGATCCGCATCACGAATAATCTAATTTCATATCAATTCGTTCGAAATCGTCGCAAAAGAAATATTTTCGAAGCTTCCTTGCATTATTTTTCTCAAATCAATCAATCGAGTAAAATAATTTATCATATGATTCGACAGTTTCGTTTAATACACAGATCACCGCGGGGACACAATCCGCAGCCGCTCTCTCTCTTATCGGATTTACTCCGAATGATTGAATTCGGCAACAAAAGCGCATAATGATACGTCATAATTCGGCACGATCATTTCGAACGCGCGTAATCGATTCATCTGGCGTCCAGTGCCGGCTAAAACGTTCCTCTGCACATGCAACGTCATCCAGGCGCACACATCGTCATACGTGTATGGGGCTACGCAGAGAATCGCTGAGAGGGAGAGGGAAAGAACATAAGCTGGAGATTCGCTTTTGGGCACGGGCGCGCGCGTTGTGTCGGTGGTAAGCGTTAAATTCGCACGCGGCAGCGGCCACCCTTGTATCGTGTACAGTCGCGGCGCGCGTCTACACATGGGTGCTAGCTACTACGGCGGGCGCGAGAATTGAATTAAATCGTTTAACGGACTCGCGTGTGCGTCTGTGTATACACGCACGTACAGATACAGTCAGTTTCGGAGCGAAGGGGGACGGACCCTCCTCTGCTCCGGCGTTTCTCTCTTTACATTGCGTACACTGCGTGTCGTGTCTGTCTTCTCTATCTTTCTCTCTCTCTCTCCATGTACGCATATAACTCGGGTTTGTGTGATAAATGCAACCTATAAAGTACTGCTACATCCATTAGACCTGTCCGTCAAAATTTTTGTTTAAGAATTTCAATTATATCAAACACGCGAGTGTATATACCCAAGGAATCTAGAGTAATTTCTCAGCTCTCTCTCTCTGCGAGCGTCTTCTAGGGATGCGTACATATAATATTGTACCGAGAGGGAGATTTTGTTACAGACGTATACCCCCCCGCTCGACTTCGTCGTTATATTATTCCGTGTTGTGTCTTTGACGAGCAAACAATGAAAAATTATCCGTTCGAATGGCAAATGAGCCGAGGGAATTTAATGAGATACCACCACCGCGACGAGGACGAGGACGACGACGACGAGATAGGAGGGCTAAGGAGAAAGAAGAAAAAAAAGGAATGTCCTTGAGAGTTCGAGGAGCTGGGCAGGATGTATACGCACGCGAGCTCTCTCGAAAGGAGAATTTTTTAAATTGTCAGTGGTTATTTCGAGGGGGTCGCGAGCGGAGTTGATTGTTTTTCTTTTAAAATGCCTCGATGATGATACGCCAGATCGTGAAAAACGTCTTATTTAATATGCAAGCCACGAACACACACCGCGTGGCATATCCGAGAACAAGGACAAAAATGTCAAGTATAAAACGAGCGCCCGAGTGTGCGTTTGATTTAATTACGAGCTTTTTTCTTGCTTTTTCCCTTCTCTTTGTTTCATTAGTATCATTCTTGGCGCAACCTTTAGCTCGCAGGCAGAGAATTAAAAATTTTCGAGTCTTATTTCAAGCAATTGCTTATTAGCTCGTACACACACTGCATATATACCAGCTCACGCGCATATCCAACAAATAAAACGACGAATCTCACGCGTTCACCCAATTCTCAACCGCACATTATGCTCGGCGCAAGTCCTCAAGAACAATATTTGCAAAGTGTTCCTTTCTCGCTCGCTCCTGTGGAGCTTGATTCCTCGGCGGGCGAATTATTAGCCTCCTCCGCGCGAAACAATGCTAAATAAATACAGCTGCGCTCAGCGAGTCTTGGAACTTGCGCTTCTCTCGAGAGCTGCCGAAAGCTCCCGCGCGCGAGCAGCTGCGTACACGCGCGCGTACACGCGTTGTATGCAAGCAATGAAGTTTCCCACCGCGAGAGCCTTAATTGGTATTTAGAAGATGTCGGATGAAACGCACGCGGCGCCCGCAACAGTCATTGTCAGTCGAGTCAGCCGAGAGAGAGAGAAGAAAAGCCAAGTTCCGCAGCTCTCGACTGGCAGGCATATCATGCGGGCGTCGTCGTAGTCGTCGTCGTCGTCGTCGTCTGCGGTGACTTTGCCACTTGATTCTTCCGCACGCATGTATATATACGCACGTGTACCCCCAAGCGAGCATATTCAACGCTGACTTATAGATACCGTGCCGAGCCGAGATTAAATTATGCACGGATCCGTGTGTTTTTGAGAAAACGACGGGATCCCCTTTTTTCCTTCAACTTGACTCGACGGTCTCTAAATAGCCTTATGATCTTTCAGCTTGGCGGACCATGATCGGAGCCGCGCGCGCGCCTGTGTTTTATCATTCGATAAACTGATGTGCACACGGCTCGACTGATGCTTTCGGCATACATGTAATTACGAACGTGTGTAAGTCTCGAATCGCATGAACCGTCTTTATGGAGCTTTTATTCGCAGACAGAACGACGTTTACGCGAAAATTTTCGAGCGAATAATTTCGAGAGTGCGTACTTTTGCGCGACTGGGAAGACGGTGTCGCGTAGTCATCCCCCAAGCCTCGCGCTCGAGCCTTTTCTATATATGTAACATTTACTTGCTGCAAAAAATTAATATTCTCCCCCGTCGCGCAGGTATCAGCTCGAGCCACTCGTACCTTTTTATTTTTACGAATTGTAATTGCGACGCGGAATTAATGAAAAGGAAGGCGACCGCGGAGAACTCAAGATTATGCTAATTACCAATAATACGATTCGTTAGAGTAGCGAGCAAAGAATTTCCGCGCGTCCTCTTAGATGTTGCCCGAGACCACGTCGTCGGCAGCTAATATGCCATCTGTCGCAGGGCACCGCACTATACGCATTTCACGAATAATTCATAGATCAAAGACGCGCGCCACCCTATCCTTCCTTGTCATGCGTATGCGCGTCTTCCCAAAGCCGTCAACCCTTTGCAAAAACTTTCCAACCTGTTAAATATCCATCTGCGTATAATTACAAGCTCCCGCCGAACGTCTTTGAAAAGCTCGATTTAAGAGGCGCGCGGGCTTTCATCGAGCTCTGATGTATAGCTGTCTCTCGTGCTCGCTTCAAACGGTGGCGGATTTTTCGATGAACGCGCGCATGTGCCCTGCGCGAAGCTTCGCTAGCCGATTACAGGTACGCGAGCGCTGCAGTTCGAGCGAGCACGAGAGCTTGCGGACTCGCTTCAGTACCCACGCGGAAAATCGATGCGAGGGAGGCGGAGCCGAGCTTGCTGCGCCACCTTCGAGATGGCGCCATGGGGAGTTTCGCTGGCCTCCGCTGCGGATTCTGAAATGTAATCGATGTTTATGGCGTTTATTCAAAATTTTGGTTTCTCTTTTTACGAAATTTATCGGTCGGTATCAAATTTTGACATGAATTGGATGAGCTTTTACGAGTCACCTTTCTGCTCTGGCAGAGATTCAGATATTGGCAACTCAAAGAGTAATTTTTAAAACTATGCTTGTATTATTTGTGATAAATATTGAGAAAATATTTCTCAGCACTTGCCGTCGTTTAACTGATCAAGAATGTGCAAAAAGCTTTTGCTACAGCTTGGTTGATCATCAATAGAAATGCTACTCTGAAGAAATTTTAAGAAACTGTTAATTGACTCTTTTTTGAAGAAAACAGCTCATTTTTACCTCGAATAAAACCAAAATAGGTAACAAAGAAAAAATCGAAATGCGTAAACAGATGATGCATAACGCGACTTCGTAGTTTTTCCCCCTTGACATTGAGGAATTTCAAAATTCCATTTTTCTTTTTTGTTATAGACTAAGAGTTCAATAAACGTTTTTTGAAGTCAAATTTTTTTAGATGTTCTGGGCTTAAAATCGATATGCAAAGTTAATACACTAGATACTGCTATGGCATGCCTTCGAAACACCTTCGTATAGCGACGTGTATTTGTGTCTCTCTCACACTCGTTTTCCCGCCTCGCACTGCTATGTGTTTACGCAAATATCATAACAACTACATATTCTCATGTCTATAACTGCTGTTTTCAATCAGCTGTTAATTAATTTTCTAATTTTGATTCAATCTTTTCACAATGATAAGAATATTACCGACCACTTCAGTCAGACATTGAATTTAAATTTTGTTGTCATTCGAAAAATAAGATTTGAACAGTAATTTTAATTGAAAGTCAATAGTGTTGATCAATAAATTTATCGCAAGCACGAGGCATTTTAAAACCAAACGATACCAATACCACATTCGATTTTACGTATTGACAAACATTGTATTGATTGAATCTAACGTTGTATTCATTCAAATCTTGTCGGATCCTTCAGTATCGCTTTATGATTTGTCGGTAGTTTACCTATAAAATCCCTATACTGTATTTTTTACCGAGGTAATATAATAAGTCTTTTTTTTCTTAACGCTGAAATTTTAAATGATAAGGTAATATTTATTAACAGTATGTATTTTTTCAACTTGAAAGTTACATTAATGTGGAGCTAAAACAAAGAAAATTTTAATTTAGCTGAGGTTGTTCTAAAAAATATGGAGATGTTGAATGATAATATTATGAAATTATAATTGATTTAATGCAGGATTGTAAAAACTCAAAGACGTGAGCAAAATTAACGGGTCGTTCTCTTCGCAGCAATCATGGAGCCGGCTATTGACTGGTGGGAAAATTATTTAGAAAAATTTCATGCATTAAGAATCAAATTCACTGGGGTGCCGAGAACCCTCTGCTACCATGGAGCGGATCAGCTTGGCAATTCTTTTTACGTTAAATTCAAACGTACTGAGGAAAAAGAACCCGAGCTGGTATTGATATTGTTCATCGATGGAGGATCGACCAAATACGAACTGCCGCAGCATCCGAATACGGTGATAAAGCGAGATAAAGACAGCTGGTCTGCCGATGGCTTGACCATGACAGTTTTGGAAGAGGAAAAGAGAGTGCGAATAACATTTAATGGTCTTTTGAGAAAAGGCACACGTACGAGCGTCGACGAGGATATCCACACTGGACTCGAGCACGTCCGATTGAATTTCATGTGAGTTTAATTTTATAATCGTTTGTAATCTATTTTTTTTTATTTTTTTCAATTCTTTATCGGATTTTTGCAGATTCGTAGCTTCCACTAAACCCTTTCCGACTCACGGACGGAAACGCAAATCATTGCAGGGTTTTACCGAAATCGATCAGTACGGATCGATGATGGGTCTGGTCAGACTTGAAAGCAAAAGCCACGAACTCTTTTTTCGTGGAATGCGTCAATTGTATGTGGGTGAAATAAAATTCGCCCTCCCAAGACTGACTTTGATGGGAGTGGATCAAATTGGAAATATTTTTTGCATTCATGTTGATGCCGAAAATTCTGAGTCGCAAATGTAAGTCGAAATAATTTTTAAAGTTCACCCAAATTAGGATAAATAATTATTAATTCTGTCATTATTTGCAGAAAAAAATTTGGACATATAAAGGATCCGCTGGACAATTTTCGGATCATCGACTCGAGCAATCTAACTTTTGAGGATTTCATGTACTCAGTTAAACATAATAACGATTATTCAAGTTCATTTAAAAGTTTGTAATGAAACATATCAATCATAAGTGATATAACTTTGAGCTTCGATTGTAAGTCAACGTTTAATTTTTTTCAGCTGATCAAACTTACGAAGTAAAGATATCGTGGCGAAAAGGAATGACATACGGAATATACGGAGGATATCCTTGGAATCATAAGACGAGGTATTTGCACTTCACCATGGAACTGAATGGTACGAAAGGCTTCGCAATAGCGGAATATACCAAGTCCTACGTTGGAACTTGTCCCATAAATATACCCATCACGGACTTGAGTGATAGAAGAAACCGACTGTTCCCGGAATTTAAACATTACCACGCTTATCTGCTCCCCCTGAGCTCAACCGAGTGCCAAGACGAGAGGCTGGTCGGAGGTAGAGGTGCCTCGCTCGCCCAGATGAAGTCGTTAAAAATGCCACAGGTAAGATTCTCGGCAAGTTCCTCGTTCCATCGATCGCTGATTTTTTCTTTTCTTTTTGCTGTCTCAAGTTCGTCGTAGCAGATGGTTTCTGTATCACAACTGAAGCCTTCACGCACTTTTTGAGCCACAATAAAGAGCTATCGGCAGCCGTAAAAGAATTGAAGCGCGAATACAATCCTGGTTTCGTTCCAACGCGTCCTCTGGATTACGATCCCGAAAAAGAAATCAAATTTAAGAAAACCGAAGCGTTGGATAAGTACGTTCGCGAAGCGATGTACGGAAGTCAAGATGCGTGATTCACTTGCTCTTCTTTTTTTTTTTTGTTTTCGTTACACGCATGCACAGAATCGCCGAACTGTTCAAGACGGCCAAAATGCCAGATCAGATGAAGCAAGCGATAGACGATTATTTCCATAACAATATCGGGTCGCGCTACCATACGTATCTTTGCGAGGTGCACTGCAGCGCCTACCACGAAGACGCGGATGAAAAAATGTGGGGTGGTCTGGACGAGTGGTTCTGCGACGTGAGTTGCGAAGACGTCTACCAGGCCGTGATCGACTTGTGGGCCAGCTTGTACAAGCCTTTTTACGTCGATTACCGGGCCTCGAACGGCCTACCCCTGGACCGTCCCATCGGCGTGGTCATACAGCAGCAGTTGGCGGACCCCGACGCGTTCGGCGTCCTCTTCACCAGACACCCGCGCACGGGCGACCCGCGAAAGATCTACGCGGGCTCTCACAGCGGCGCCCACAAGCCGGACAATTACCACTTCTCGATCCGGGTGGCCGTCGACCGGCACAACGAGTTCAAGCTCGAGGACAACGGTCCGATCTACCTCGACGGCGACTCGTCCAACATCGAGCGGACGAACCAGGTCCGCATCGGGAACAAGGTCGCCCTGAGACTCGCCGAGATCGGCCGAGAACTGGACGAGCTCTACGGTTCGGCCCGCTTCATCGACTGGTCGTACTACGCCAAAGGGGACACGATCTATCTGCACTATAGCCGGCCGCTGACGCACTTCGAAGCCTGGACGGATTTCGAGCTGACCCACGAGCTCGGCACGGGTGTGCCCGCCGACAAGGACATGCTGACCTCGGTTCACGCGGCCGAGATTTTCCCCTACTGCGTGACGCCGCTCACCCGCACGGTCGTCTGCGAGGCTCTCGCCCCGTCGTCCTACTACCGCGAGTTCAGATCCGTCGACGTCGACGACGACTTCTACATCCACAAGAATGCGTTCGTCATCTTCAACAACAGGGTCTTTTTCAATTATTTCAACGTAAGCGCGGCTATCGGTCGAATACGCCTCGTCTCGAGCTTATTTTCTTTCACGATTGTTTTTTTTCTCCTTCAAGATCGCGTTTCGCAGCCGATGGGCGACGACCGACAAAAGCATCGTCGCCAGAGATTTCGCCCGTGGCGGACAGTCGATCGTCGCGCCGGAAGTGCTCGAGGACGCGAAAAGGCGCATCCACGCCTCCGACGGTGCGATCGTCGACAATCTCAAGCATCTCGGCGGCATTTGGCTGGACTACCGCGGCTCCAAGGGCGTCGAACTCGACTTCGTACAGCTATTACTGAAACCGTACAGATCCGCTCGATACGGAGACGAAGACGAGGAGATGAAACATCTGAACAGAAAGATATGCGCGTTGCGCGACGCCTCGCGGACTCACGGCCACTTCATGCGTCGTAGCGAGCGTCGCCTGGTGCGGCTCCTGGACAGGCTCGCGCGCGGCAAGGACATCACCGACCAGACCCTGTCGGACACGTCGATAGTGCTGGGCTACCCCACGGATCTCCCCAGCAACTCTCTGCCGACATTGATGAATTCGATCCTGCGTAGCAAATATTACAACCCCGAACGACTACTGATAAACCATAAAAGTTTCATTCGCGATTACCGTGAGATGTGGCACTTTCTCGGCTTCAACGAATTGGAAATGGCCTCGGAGCCTTTTGGCATGAGGCCAGATGCCATTTTCAGGATGCTCACGGTATGAATCATTTTTACTGTTCTTTGATTAGACGCATACATAAAGGTCGAAATGAAACTTTTTTAAATTATCGCCACACGTTCGTCACCGATTTCGAATTTCAGTTTTGAGACTCTTTAACTATATACTATCACGCACCAAAAATGCGTCGAAATTGGTGATACGCGTGAGCTCGATTTAGTAAAAACAGTATTATTTTGATTCATTTATATATTTTATACTAAAATCGACCGATCGTGGAAAATGGTCACACGTGATTCTCATAGAAAATAAAGTGGGTAAAAAAACCGGTTGTGACCAAGCCCTTGGAGGCGGAATTCATGAAGGAATTGAGAAAATTTCCAGAAGCACGCGTACGAGCCGCGGCAAATCTGGTACCGGGCCTGATCAAGAGCTTGCGGCGCCGAGAAGAGTCCCGAGAGCTTCTCAGCAAAGCAGTTCAAATACTGAGGATGTACTTCTGCCTGATGGCCGACGAGCTGGTGAAGGCGGGCAAATTGCCCGACGTCGGCTTGATACACTACTTGACGCGCGAGGAGGCGCTGTCACTGGCGAAGCCCGAGGCAGTGCCTATGCCGGACCTGATCAGGAAGGCCCATCGTCGCAGGGAACTCTGGTTCGAGCTCGACCGGATGATCTATTATCCGGAATACTGGTACGGTGTGCCGAGGCCCATCGACAGAGACGGCCGGTTCTTCAGATCGTGGTTGGAGCGCGAGGAGATTTACGGCACGCCGATTTTCCCCGGTGAAGTTAGGCGCGGTGTGCTCATCGTCGCCAGGACGCCCGAGGAGACCCATTGCTTGATGACAGATTCTCCAGTGCAGCCAAACGTCATCCTCGTGACTCCGTGCATCGACGCGGGCTGGAGCCAATTTTTGCCGTTCGTCGGGGGAGTGATCACCGAGCACGGTGGCATCCTCAGCGAGGGAGCGTTGATCGTGCGCGAGAGCTCCTTGCCGTGCATCATGGGCGTCCCCATGGCCACGAATATCTTTAGAACGGGTAAGTGTAGCTCGTTGATCGTTTATAGCGCACGAGGTGGCAAAATTGATTCATCTCGCTCTTTGGCCCATCGAAACTTATTTCAATTTTCGCAGGCGATCCGGTGTACATGGACGGATATAACGGTGAAATTAAAAGATTGCGCAGAGAGACGGCCCAAAGACAGGCTTCCGTCCCAAGATCGCCTGGCGATGAGCCCCAAATAGAGGCTTCCGTCCCAAGATCACCTGTCGATGAACCCCAAAGAGAGGCTTCAGTCCCAAAATCGCCTGACAATGAGCCCCAACGAGAGGCTTCCGTCCCAAGATCGCCTGAAAATGATCCAGACAAAACAGTGCGCTTCAATGAAACTGTAAAAGTCACAAAGATGAATCTACTGTAATGCGAACGCGCTTTGAAAAAGCTGGGATAAAAATCATTCATTAAAATTATCATTCACTGAAAGTCAGAGTGAACAATTAATTTTTTTGTATTTTTATAAAATCAACTCAAGTCGTGTTGTCAAATAAATATGTGAATATTTGTACATTTTAAATATATAATGTATTGTTTTAAAAAATAATGATAATAGATGCTAGAGACACGAACAAAAATTTCGACAAAAAATAATCTTACATGTATTGAACGAAATCATGTATTTATAAATTTGTATAAATATAATATGACAATATCATGCTATCAGTTTTTTTATTATATTTTACACAATCAACGTTACACAATCAAAATATGGATTTCTTCGCTCTAGAACTTGAAGAATATAATATATCTCCGAGGAAAAAGTGAAAAAACATTTTTGCTATATTTTTAAAAGCTCTAGATCACCCCAAAAAGAATAATTTTCATTTCAAAAAAGGCCTTTTGTGTTTGTCCTAATTGTTAGTTTCTCTTATCATGAGATATATGGTGAGAATCACTTTTGACTTGAATTGTGTGAGCTTTTATAAATCATCCTCCTGCTCTGGCGAAGATTAAGGTATTGTGAACTAAAACTAAAGGAATCGGTGTACTTTTTAATATTATGATTGATGGTTCATCGCGCGCTGTGCTGGCTCGGTGCTCGACGGTGTAGAGAGTCATCTCGCTAGATTCTGCTGTGGCATGCCTTCGAAACATCGAGGTAGCGTCGTGTATCTATGTCTCTCACACGCTTTTCCCGCCTCGCACTGCTGTGTTTACGCAAATATCATAATGACTACACATTCTCATGTCTACAACTGATGTTTTCAAATAGCTGTTTATTAATTTTTAATTTTAATTCAAGCTTTTCACTTGAACTTGGATTACTGATTCCTTTTTTTCCTCCTATTCAATTTTATCTACGTGCAATATTCAACAAAGTATTTTTCAAACATTATAAAAGGCATTTCGACGGTCCCCACGAAAAGTAACACGTTTCCCTTTAAATTAACACACAAACGTGTTACTCTTCGTGGGGACCGTCGATTTAAAAAAAAAATAATACCACTATTACTCAGCACGATTTCTCGATTTTATGTATATTTACAAACATTGTACTGACTGAATAGAACGATTCATTTATTTATATCTTGCCTGATCATTCAGTATTACTCTATGGCTCACCGGTAGTCGATCGATAAATTTCTTATACCGTGAGGTAATAAAACAAGTCTTTTTTAAATTAACGCACAATATTTAAAATTTTTATTAACAGTATGTAATTTTTCAAGTTGAAAGTGTACTTTCATAATCAGTTAAAGCAGAGAAAATTTGAATTTAGCACAGGTTGCTCTCATAATAATAATATAGAGACGTTGACTCGCATCGATAATATTTTGATATTGAGTGGGCCTGCTAATATTGTAAAACTATATTTTGTTTAATGCAGGGTTGTTAAAATTCAAAGTCGCGGACAAAATTAGCGGTTCGATCTCTACATAACTATCATGGAGACGGCACAGCAGTCAATTGATAGTTACCAAGATGAAAATGTAAGAATAAAAATAAAACTCGTAAAATTTAAAATTATCCAAGCTCATTACCAAAATTATAAGAAAAAAATTTCTTTCAGGAGTCGAGAACCCTCTGCTACCATGGAGCGGATCAGCTAGGCAATTCTTTTTACATTAAATTCCAACGAAATCCGGAAAAAGAATCTGAGCTGGTATTGATATTGTACATAAATGGAGGATCGACAAAATACGAATTGCCGGAGCATCCGAATACGGTGATAAAGCAAGATAAAGACAGCTGGTCTGCCCAAGGCTTGACCATGACAGTTTTGGAAGAGGACAAGAGAGTGCGAATAACATTTAATGGTCTTTTGAGAAAAGGCACACGTACGAGCGTCGACGAGGATATCCACACTGGACTCGAGCACGTCCGATTGAATTTCATGTGAGTTTGATTTTATAATCATTGGCTATCAACTTTTTTTATTTTTTTCCAATTATTTATCGGACTCTTGCAGATTCATAGCTTCTACTAAACCCTTTTTGGGTCATGTCCGTGGAGGGAAACACAAATCAACTGACGATAAAACAGAAATCGATCAGTACGGATCGATGGTGGGTTTGGTCAGGCTTGAAAGTATGACTCATGAACTTTATTGTCGTGGAATGCGTCAATTTCATGTGGGTGAATTAAAATTCGACTCAGTGAAACTGACTTTGATGGGATTGGACCGGATGGGAAATATTTTTTGCATTCGTGCTCAAGTCGATAATACTGGGTTGAAAACGTAAGTAGAAATACTTTTTAGAGTTCGGCCAAATTAGGGTCAAAAATTATTAATTCTGTCATGATTTGCAGAAAAAAATTTGGACACGTAATGGATCCGTTGGACAATTTTCATAACATCGACTCGAGTGATTTGAATATTAAAGAATTCACAAAATCAATCAGAGGAACTGAACATTTTGCTACTTTTAAATTTAAAGGTTCGTTATGAGATATTAGTCACACATATACTTTATTTTAAGTTAACATTCTTTTTTTTCAGCTGATAAAACTTATAAAGTACAGTTATCGTGGCGAAGAGGAATGACAAAAAAATTATTCGGAGGATATCCTTGGAATCATAAGACGAGGTATTTGCACTTTACCATGGAACTGAATGGTACGAAAGGCTTCGCAATAGCGGAATATACCAAGTCCTACGTTGGAACTTGTCCCATAAATATACCCATCACGGACTTGAGTAGAAGAAGAAGGCAACTGGTCCCGCCACCGCATGTAAATCGACTCATGAATTATGTCATCGACCTGAAACATCCAAAGTGTAAAGACGAGAAGCTGGTTGGAGGTAGAGGTGCTTCACTCGCCCAGATGAAGTCGTTGAAATCGCCGAAAGTAAGGTTCCTGGCATGTCACACAAGATGCATCGTGGCTCGCTCAATCGATCACTGATTTTTTTTTTCTTTTTTTCATTCTACCTCAAGTTCGTCATACCAGATGGTTTCTGCTTGACGACAGATGCTTTCGAGCGCTTCTTGATCTACAATAAAGAACTGTTGGAGGCCATACATCAATTGATGGACAGCTACAGAATTTACTATCAACCGAAAGGATCTCTCGACTTTACCAAAGAAATAATCCAGCAAATACCGGATGGTCCAGTAAAAGAACCCGACGAACCCGATAGGACCGAACTTCTGGACAAGTACGTTTGCCAATCGTTCGTCATGGCAAAAGTCACGATGCTCGATTTACTTGCTCCTTTTTCTTTTCTTTCCACGTGAACAGAATCGCGGAACTTTTCGAGATGGCCAAACTCCCAGTGGAGATACTGGACGAGATACACGTGTGCATGTGTCTGCTGTTCTCCACACAGAGCTCGGGTCAGTGGACGGTCCAAGGCAGCGCCTACCACGAAGACTCGGACGAAACGATGTGGGCTGGTCAGGATCTCACGCTTCTCAACGTGTGTAGCGAAGACGTGATCAAGGCCGTGATCGACTGCTGGGCCGGCTTGTTCAAGAAGGACTGCGTCGAGTATCGACGTTATTACGGCCTACCGCTGGTCCGACCGATCGGCCTGTGCATCCAGCCGATGGTCGGCGAGGCCGACTCGCGCGGCAGCCTCTTCACCAGACACCCGCGCACGGGCGACCCGCGAAGAGTCTTCATTGGCTCTCAAAGCAGCAAAGACGAACCGGAAAAGTACGACTTGCTGATCTGCGTCGCCTCAGGTCCGAACAACGAGTACGAGATAGAGTCGAGCGGCGAGGTCAATTTTCAGGGCCGCAGAGCCTCGCAGACATCCGTGCACGAGATCCCGAAGGAGCGAGCCGACAAATCGCGGTCCATCAGCGTCGAGGTCGCCCTGAGACTCGCCGAGATCGGCCGAGAACTGGACGAGCTCTACGGTTCGGCCCGCTTCATCGACTGGTCGTACTCGGCCGAGAAGGACCAGATCCACCTGCAGCTCTGCCGTCCACTGACGGACTTCGAAGCCTGGACGGATTTCGAGCTGACCCACGAGCTCGGCTCGGGTGTGCCGCCCGAATGGGACCTGTTCAGCTACGTACAGGCAGCCGAAATTTTTCCCCACCCCTTGACTCCGCTCACCTGCACGACCATATGCGAGGCACTCTCTCCCACGACCTTCTCCAGCGGCATAAGATCCTGCGACGACGACGACGAGGCCAACTTCGACGACGAGCATCACCCGAGTTCGTTCTTCGTCGTCAACATGAGGGTCGCTTTCAATCATTTCAACGTAAGCTTGGCGTCAGCGAGAACGTGGAATATGCCTCGGTCGAACACATTTCTTTCATTTTCTCTCTTCGCGTCGTAGCTCATGTTGCGCAACCGCAACGAAACGATCGGCAACAGCATGGAAGCCGTGGATTACGCCCGGGGCTCGCGTACGGCCACCGAGCCGGAACTAGTGGACGTCGCCAAACGTCGTATCGGCATCGGCGCTGGCGGTCGCATCGGCCAACTCAAGCTCCTCGGCGGCAAGCTACAGAACTTGTTCAAGAGCTCTCAACCTCGCATCAAGGAATTCGAGGAAACGATCGAGAGCTACGAGCCCGAGGAGTTGATGACCGAAGCCTACTTTCTGACGGATCTTGACAATCAGCTGGAGACGGTGCGCAAAGCGTCGCGATATCACGGCCGCCTGTCGCGCCTCAGCGAGCGCTACCAGGCGCGCATTCTGCAGCTACTCTCGTACATCGAGGACGAGATCACCAATAAGAACATGGGGGACGTTGCGCAGCTGCTGGGCTGCTGCGGAAACGTCGCGAGCTCGCTACTTCCAAAGATCATATCCAGTCTGGTGGATCGACCCGACTGGTCGCCACTCGGCAACGACGCGGTGGATCGCGATGAAAATTGGCTGAGGATTCGCCGGTTCGTAGAGGAGTACGGCTACCGCGGCGTCAATGAATTGGAATTGGCCTCGGAGCCTTTTGAATCGAGGCCTGAAATGCTTTTCAGGGCGCTCAAGGTAAAAATCGTTTTTTCGATTCTTCGCAAAAATATATTAAACTTGGCCTGCGCAGTACGTAGATCCGCAAGCGATCGGCCTAAGTAAGAGACCACACTACACGGAGTGCGAGTCCGACGGCCCGCCCCCGATGGAACTGGTCCAGGAAATCCGTTCGCTGATAACGCCCGAGTATCGTCGCACCATCGAGAAGCTGCTACCGGAGGCCCGGAGAAGCGTGACTCGCCGCGACGAGTCCAAAGACCTGCTCAGCAAGGCCGTGCACAACGTGAGAAAGCTCTTCGGCCAGAAGGCCGCCGACCTGGTGAACGCGGGCAGATTGCCCGAGATCGGCCTGATTCACTACCTGACGCGCTGGGAGGTGCTGGAACTGATGAGGAACGACGCGGCCAAGCCGGCGCTGATCAGGAAGGCCCAGCGGCGCAGGCGGCTCTGGCCCAGTCTGGACCGGAAGGTCCATCATCCGGACTACTGGTTCGGCTGGCCCCGACCCCTCAAGGACGACGACGAGATCGAGGAGGTCTGTCACGAGTACTACCCCGCGTACACCGGCACGCCGATCTGCCCGGGTAAGGCGGATCATCGGGTCGTCGTCGCCAGGACGCCCGACGAGGCGTCCCGCCTGAGACAGGGCGACATCCTCGTGGCTCCGTGCGTCGACGTGGGCTGGAGTCAGTACTTTCCCCTGGTAGCGGGAATAATCACGGAGGTCGGCGGCCCCCTCAGCGAAGGTGCCGTGATCGCCCGAGAAAACAATATACCCTGCGTCATGGGCGTTCCCATGGCCACGTGGGTTTTCAAGACGGGTAAGCTTCGCGATCGATTCTGCGTCGCGGGATAAAATTGATGTATTCTTCCTTTTTCAGGCGATACGCTGTCGATGAACGGATACACCGGTAGAATTGAAAAGAGATCTTTAATGTTTAGTCCTGCAAAACCATGCATGCCCAAAGGGACATTACAGAAAATGTTAAGGGATATAACGAGGGCAGGAAGGTCTTAGAAAAATATAAACGAAGCTGATTCAGAATAATATCGACGTTTAAAGTAGGATTATTTCGCGCGCCTTGCGACGAGCAACGCGATGTTTTTTATTCATTCGACAAATATAATTGGCATATCCTGGATTTTATTTCTGAAAATCACGCGAAGATTTACTTACCTAGTCCACGTGTCAAGTAAATTTTTTTCGCATTTTTAAAGGAACAAATTAAATCCTGTGTTGTCAAATAAATATTTCAATATTTATATATTTTCAAATATATAAGGTATTATAATAAAATCAGTTATCCCAAAGCTTTAGTTGAATATTGATAATAGATACTAAAGCTGCGAATAAAAAATTCAACGAAAATGATCTTACATGTATTAAATGAAACCATGCATTGATAAATGTTTATAAATATAATTAACTATGTTAAGATATTGGTTAATGTTTTTGATATTTTTACACTTTTATCCTCACACTATTATACACTTAAAAAGTTTTCAGTTTTTTTCAAAAAAAATGTCTCAGCGACAATTCACTACTTCTTCTCAGCTAGAAGACTTGACGCAAGAAAGTCGCATTATAAAATCGATTTATTTAGCTCACCATTTAGTTATAAAAAGACTTTAAAAATTTCATTTCAACAAATTTATAAAATTTACTTTTATGAAGTTCGTTAACTTCGTAACGTATACAAGTAAAAATTCAGTTAATGTTTAACGTCTTATTTTTAGTTTTTTTTTAATATCGATGGATAAATTATTAAATTTTTGAGCTTGAAAAAAAAAAAAATTCATCCATCTACGTGGAATCATTTTTAACGTCAAAAATACTTTTTAAAATTTAAACGCAGGCAGCCTGTAAAACTTTAATCTTTCTCCACTTTTTTTCCGTCCTTTTGGTTATAATGACGAAGTTAATTCCTTCTTCTTGACTATGTACGAATGCAAAATGGTATCACGAGTTGAGAATTCGCGCGGAAGCTCTCCTTATACCTTTTCATTCATAATGCGGATCATCGTCCGAAGTACTTTGGAAAACTTTTTCACCTTTCACGAGAATAAGAAGCGTGATCTCCGTGGAAAATCTTCAAGTTCAGCAGGCAGTAGACAGACAGATAGAGTAAAGCAAACGAGTGGTCCTATCAATTCTCTCTCTCTTTCTCTCTGCCCGCCTCCCGCCGCCCGTACTCCCCAACTTTTCTCTCTTATACTTTTTCGCCCGTGAGAGAGAGAGAGAGAGAGAAGGCAATTTTTCCCTTCCATCGTCTCACTTTACAAACCACACGTGTGTGCATATATCTCTCTTTGTCAACGTAATCCTCTCTCACTTTCGCACGCCTAGCGTCGAAGGCATCTTTCGGATGTATATATACCATTAGCGAGAGACAGATATAAGGGTCACGCACACACACACGTCTATATGCCACAACGACCCTCACGGCGTGACTTTGTTTTACGTCCGTGGCGCTCCGAAAGCGGATAATCCTCGTGGATCTGTCGATCTTTTTCTGCGTTTTATCAAACGCTTTCTCCCGCGGCAAAAGCATATGTGTCCTCGTATAGGTGTGAGTATTTGTTTGTAGAGCGAACACGACAGAATAGAGATAAGTCTTGCTAACGACTCGAAGCTATTTAAAGGATTTATTAATGGACCCGTATACACGTAATTTTAATCAATTTATTCCAAGATTTATATTCAATGAAATATCTTATCTTTTCGTATAAAAGATAAAATAGAGGAAATATGTGGGTGTCAAACTTCCTTGTATACAATAACCAAGAACGATTCCTTTTTTATGAGCATTATTTTTCGCAATTAACAATAATAAATCCTGATAAATTTGATATTTTTTGTGATTGATGGTATTAGTAAAGCTTTCACCAAATTGTAAGATTCCCAATAGGATGAAAGCTCGCAGAGTCGTCACTTGTTAATGTACATTCTTTATTTCACAACCTCAACTATTGGATACAATTTAATAAGCCTGCCTAGTCACTCATTAAAGAGCACACTCACCCACGCTTATTTGCTACCATATCACATAATTTATTGCCTTAAGTGATCTTAGAAGCAGCACACAGTATACACTGTGCAGCAGCGAACGAGAAGAAACGATATATATAATATATAAAACAAAGACGAGCAGGGATAGTTTCATTTTATTCCTGGCTATTGCTCGTCGCGAAGATAGAAAAACAATATTGTTGTTTCATCGGTAAGTCCCGGCACGTCGGTCGGTCGGACGCTCGATCCTGCTTCCGTACTCTCCTCGTCCTCCTACGCACACACACACAGAGCTAAACTCGGAAAGTGACGCGGCGTTGCGAAGCTCGTGTTCGGCTTCCAGTCGCACGACTCGTCGTCGTCGGGGGGTTACAAATTGGATTATGCTCCACGCTTAAAGCCTCGGCAGTTGCACAAGCTTCCTATACATATATAGCAATGATGGGAGGTACGACAACGATGAAGAGAGCTCGCGCACGGCTTAGGAGGCAGGCGCGCGCCGGGGAAACGCTCCAAAAGATGAGTGTGCTGCACGGCATAAAACATCGCCGAAGAGGGTCAAGCAGTTTTTAAAATTTATTTACAACTACGCATCGTATCGTACCGAAATGATAGATGAAGCGAGAGGATAAAGGGAGAGAACAATTTTCAATTTTGAAGGAGTTACTTTGTGCGAAAAAAAACATTTTTCATCGTGTAACGTTATTTTCAATAAGTTGAAAGGGCAATTTCGAGTCTTACTCAGTTTCCAGAATGGACTTTGTGCTGTATAGCGTCTACATCGCTATGTTTAACAACGTCTCCTGCACCCTAGCGCACTTCCAACTTACGTACGTATAGCCGAAACTATCTCGTTTGTAACTTACCACCCGACGTACGGCCTCGTCGTTTAAAAAATTTACTTAAACTTACTTATACGTGGCAAGTGTAGATTCTCGAATGGATGCATATACGTAGGTACATATACGGAGGGCCTCGCAAAGGTCGTCGTAGTCGTCGCTTCAATGGGCTCGCATCGCGCTCGTCTTTGTTCGAACGCGACGTCGACTTGGATATTCTCTCCTCCTGCGAGAGACCGTACGTATGCGCGCGCGCGCGAGGAAGCTATTATTTCCGCGGCTCCGAATTTAACAGTAAACTCTCGTTGTGCCGCGAAAGTTGCGGACAATGGGCATATCTGGCTCTGGGCCAGGACAATACTTCGGGAATTGTCGTAGTAGCCGAGCTGGGACACGAGAGAGAGAGAGAAAGAGATACTTTGCGGCTTCGAGTTACGACTGTTTGCGCACTGCCTATATACATGTGATAGTTTACACGCAGGTATTTCAAGCTCGCAAGCTGCGCGTATATAATATGTATATTAAACATTCGCATCGAGGGTTCGGCATGTTTAATCGGCATTGTTTCTTGAAAAACACATTTGCGCGCGAGCGAGCTTCGCGTGTATTATTGTAATACGGCGCGACGTCGGGGGCGACGCATTGGCTGCACGAGTACATCGAGGCGTGACTCTTATCTTGGTTCATTTTTATCTCCGAGCTCTGAATTATATACAATCCCTACGTGGGAGACTCGCCTCCGCCAACACGATGTACAATAATCATTTGTGACGTTAATCCCTTTGATCGCCGAAGCGGAACAAAGTAAACGAGGCTAAGAGTCACGTGCGATCTCTACGACGCCTATGATTGAATTTGTTTGACAAGTCGCTTTTTAAATGGTTAAGAATGGTATATCATTTACTCGGTCGGATATTGTTTGAAGAAGTAACGATTTATTTAAATTTCATTAGCTCTATTATAGATAATATTCAAATTATCAAATAGCATTTTTTGATCAAACATTGCTATCAATTTTTTTTACCAATGCTGACACACATTTTATTCTTATAATTATCTAAATACATTATGTACATTTAGCCAACTCTATCATTCGTACACATCGCCGTGTAACTCTTTAAAAAACATTAAATACAACCAATTTCTATCAAACATGATCACTCAATCTCGCATAAGCACCTTCTCAATTGAAACGATTAGATAAGATAGCAAATAACAGCTTCTTCCAGATCAAAAGAGTATCAACAGAGCTGAAGTTACAATTAAAAAAAATTATTGGTAATTCACGGCAGGGTATCCTTCATGTACGTAATCGGGAAGACGGCCCGGTGCATTACTCATCTCGTCGAAGATGAATATCAGGTAGTCGGATACTTTGGTGTGTGACTCTGGAATGCCACTTGCGCAGGGATTGGCTGCTCCAGACACTATGCCTAAGACTACTTGTCTATCTAAATCGGCCACGGGGCTGCCGCTGTCTCCCTGAAATTCGGTACAAGTATTTATCAAATTAAACAGCTCATCTACCTATTTGTGAAATAATTTAAAAAATGTCTGACTTACCGGACAAGTGCCATGGAAATCCGATCGGTAGGTGCAAATTTTATGTCTAGATACTGTGGCGTTCCATTTTTCCTCGCAAAACTCATAAGACACGGTGTTTGTGAGGGTTACTCGCAGCTCATCTGACACGAATGGAGAGGTGATGTTCGATCCCCATCCGGCGATCCAAACGAGGGTTCCTTTAGGTACGTCGGCATGTAAATTAGGTAAACTGATTGGCTTTATTTTCTCAGTGAAAGTCACAGGCTCTTTAAGCTACAAAAATAAGTTCATTAAACGATAAGAAAATTTTCAGCAATTTATAAGAAAATTTATGCTTACTTGAATAACTGCAACATCGCCTACTACACTGTTTTTCCAGTAGTCCGGAGAGTGGGCTACTCTGCGAACGTCGAACTTTGTGTATCCGCTTCTCCAATTTGTCGAGCCAGCTCGAATCTCCACATAGCTGTTAGGATCTTTGACGACGTCTTGGACGCAATGCGCAGCAGTGAGAACGTGTTGATCGGAAATCAAAGCACCACCGCATTGATAATGTTTATCAACGATGATCGCTACCTGGTAAGGAAATTCTTCGATCGATGATACGTATTCGCCTTTGTTGGCTATTTTATACCTTCGAGCTGCAATCTAAAAAAATTCAATTTATTTAATATCACATGGTAAAGTATCGAATCAAATGATTACAATAGTTTTAATCTTACCAGTAAGGGAGCAATTATGAGAAACAACTTTAAAACTTTATACATTTTGGCAACTCGCAAAATCTCTTTTCTCAGAAATCGAAAAAAAAAACGTTGAACGCCGGACACTTATTTCAAAACTACTTCGAATATTTTTATCGTCGAACGTTTTATAGGCGACTAAAAACGATTCACGAACGAACGAACGTTATGATTTATCGAGCCAAAAATTATAGTAGGTTAGTCTTGTGTACTTTTAGTGTGATATGCATATTTACTTATTAAATAATTCATTTTGATTTTCAAATATCTTCATTGGTTTCACGCGTTTTGAACACTCTACAAGCTATTGAAAATTACTCAAGCGTGTGTGTGTAATAATTCATCACACCTGAAATTTCACATTGGTGTTGCCTAGTATACTTTTGGTATAATGTACGTACTTGTTTGTTTAATACATTTATCTATTTTGATTCTAAAATAACTTCATAAATTCTACAAGTTTTATAGGCTATTAAAAATCGTTCATGTGGAAGTGTAATGATTCACTGCATCTGCAATTTCGCAGAACAATTATTGTCTAGTGCACTTTTTGTAGGTCACATGAATGCAAAATTATTCACTTCATTTGCAAAAACACATGATCGATTTTATAAAATTGTTATAAGTAACGCAAACGTTAAAAATTGTACACGTGTTAGAATTAAAATTATTTGCACCTGACATATCAAAAGTCTAAATTTCATAATTAAATATGTACTACATAATATTTGAATTTATCTATACTCTACATTTAATAAGATATAATAAAAATTATTTGCTCTAGTATTCAGATTATGATCATACATCAACATTTTTTCAAATTTTTCTCATTCTCATTCTTACGAATACATACAATCGAATCATAATGATAATGATGATGCAATAGTCGAACCATTTACCTAATGATCATCTTTGTCCCTCTCCTCGTATCCTTTCATTCCGAGCTTATCTAGCTTCCTCTCGGATACACTCGAGTTTTCACTGGAAAACCTCTCACCATGCCCAGGCAGTCTCGCGATGCTTCTCTATCTTCACTTCTTGCTTGACTACTGTTTTGTCTTATACATTACTTGATACTGTAAGTACTGCACGAAGGAGTACTCTTTGGCAAACAAAATTATTACCGCGTAAACAACTTTGTAGTGAGCAAATCCTTAATGCCTTGAGAAAATTAAATTGATAAAAAAATAAGTACCTTACATAAACAGATTGTAAGTAAAAATAATTACATTTTGCCACGAATGTAAAGGTAATCTCAGTCTTCAGCTACTTACTTTACTACCATGAAATTTTTATTCAATATTACAAACGTGTATTATTATTCGCATGTCTGCGTATAACAACTCGTGTAACTTACAATATCACCCTGTATCATTGAAGTATCATAACTTTATATAATATAATATAATAGAACTAAAACGTTTTTGGTCTACTTTACTTTTGAGGCGCATGTAATGTATACATAGCGTATGCACACACCTACCAAAGTACCATATTGCATATGAAGCATCGTAAATTTTTTTATAGTTTGCACGAGCAAGTGATGCAGTCCGGGTGAGTGTGTATGTGTGTAGCTGCCATATAAAGTTAACAGCTCTTTTCCAAGTCTGAGAAATAATATCTGAAGTCCTGAATTTGAAAGGAGCGTAGGGAGATTCGCTTTATCAATGTACCATATGCAAATCGTTTAGCCGAAGATCGCATGCATACGATGGTATGAATAATCTAATGCCTTTGAAGTTGGACTATGAAATTTATTGTGATTATACAACAATAACAACTAGGTATTAGCCATTGCATAAATTTTTAATTACCGGAATCATATAGAATATAAATATTATTTCTGTCATTGACTGAAACGGTTCAACATTTTATTAGTTTATAATGAAGAATATACTTCAGTTCTCTCAAAAAATTTAAAACTGAAATATTATTTTTACATAATGAGATAACATTAGAGGAAATTATAATATTATTATAAATGAAAATTTTAAAATTTTTCTTCCGAGCAAGTATATAAAAATGAATATATTAAGTTGTAATGCGTGAGTGATGCACAGTATTGATATGTTTTTTGAGATTATACTTTCTTATTAATTGTTTCCCACATATATCACACCGGTATGTAATACCATTGTGCATCGAATCTATGTGTCTTTTGAGATAATCTTTGTAAGCAAATTTCTTTCCGCATGCGTCACACGAATGAACAATATCCATATGTTCCGCTTCAGTATGGTTTTTAAGACTAGTCTTCCATAAAAATTCTTTACCGCACACATCGCATGCGTGTCTGACATCATTGTGCACCACATCGATGTGGTTTTTTAGGTGAACTCTATGAGCAAACGATTTTTCGCATTTATCACATGAATGTCTGATATTGTTGTGCATCTTATCGATGTGAATCCTAAGATTGCTCTTTAATGTGAATGTCTTTTGGCAAATTTGGCATGTAGGTAAGACACCTTTATGCATTACCTCAATGTGGATTTTGAGATAACTCTTACTCGAAAATATTTTTTCACAAATATTACATGGATGGGTGACGCCATTGTGCACCGAATCGATATGCGCTTTGAGTTGAACCTTTTGTTTGTATGACTTTTCACATTTATCCCAAGAATAGCTGGTGATACAAATATGCAATGACTTGACATGCCTCATCAGACTAAATCTAGATGAATATTTCTTTCCACATATTTTACATACATGAGTTGTATCATTATGCACTGTACCAATGTGTGTTTCGAGGTTATGTTCGTTTTTCAAATTCAATTCTTCTGTAGCGCTACCGAAAAATTCTTGTTTCACTTCCGTCGCCGTTTCTGTTTTAATTATGTTTTGAATTTTATAATTATCGAAATATTTCGATGAATTAATATTGGGCTTGACGTCTACGCACTCAACGACTATTTCCACTTTATCGTGAAGCTCACTTTCATGATTTTTCGCATATTTTTGAAGGGTATCGTTCTGTTAAAATATTGAAGCTGCGTGAGAATTTTCATAAAAGGCTACTGCAATAAGAGTAACGTAAATATTATCAATACTTACAGAACTTTCTGTAATTAAATGTGGAAATGATGAGAGCTGGCAGTTTTCAAGATTGGGTTTCTCGTCAATCGATTGCACAATCATTTCCAATAAGCGCCACATCGCTTGGCTCCTCTTTTACTCTGAAATAACCCAAATAAGATGCCTTATTTTCTTATATCTTTAATCATTTCAATCTGAAAATATATAAATTACCTGATATCGCCGTTAACTAAACGACTAAATTCCATTTTCTCACTTAGAATTTCACCAAAGATTAATCTTTCGGCTATGATCAAGCTAACTACACGAAAAAAATGGCGATGAAAACTGAGAGATGCGTGCTCGTTGTATTGTTTACGTTGTGGGTGGTATTCATAACCTCGCCGTATATTGCCCGACACGGAATTTCCGGTCCTACAAAAGTACAGGTAGCGCTGCACTCAACGGTTTTGCGCAGGGCTGATCAAGCATAGATAAAGTTTTTCAAAATCTCAATGTAGCTTAAATATTATTTACAAATTATTTCATAAAAATTATCAATGTTAAAAAAATAAAACTACAATATTATAATTATATCATGAAAGAAATTATTTTATGTATCTGATGTCTAATAAATAGTAAACATTCATCCATCAACTTATAATCTCTACGTAATCTTACCCAAGCGTAACATAGTCGACAAATTAAAAGCACATTATACATTTCAATCGACTCTCTATCGCTCGTCCTCTCGCGACTATCGAAGTCGCGTACATCCTCACATACACATGCGTACATACTAAATCGTCACATTATTGATTTTCCCAAGCTGTCAGTGTAGCGAGTCGATTAATATTAGAAAAAAAATAAAATAAAACGTTTCGGAGAATTGGCTGCATTATCGTTACAAGCGAACGTGTGTGTCGAAGCGCTCGAACGATCGGGAAACTTCGGGTGGGAAAAACGAATTCATTAGAAGGATTATTTGATTGATAATGACGACTGCGACGACGACGAGTCACGAGGCTTTTACGCGCTTTGATTCGCAGAGATTCGATTTGGACCAGAGTATTCCATTAGCAATACGCCGATGCGGGAGAGACTATATATTATCGAGCTACCTCGCGTGGATTTGTGTAGCACGATGTCAGTTACTCGGCATCATACGGATCAGTGGTTTTTTAAAAGGGACTGCGGACGAAAGAATGGCTCTTTGCTATATATAACGAAATGCACCGAATTGTACCTCTCTGTTGTATATTACGCATAAGTGCCTGACTTTGCGCTTCAAAGCTTACGAGAGATAACACAGTGGACGCTGCGTTATTCGCACAAAGAAAAAGAGACGATCTTCTTTTTTGGCTACTTTGCGTATGAAATACTTGATAAAAAGTAAACTTAAAGAGAAGCTAACGTGATATTTCATTTTTTCACTTTATGCTGTCAACTTTAAAAAATTATTTTCAAAGGTTTTTCGCCACGTCGTACACAACGCGCGAGAGAACGATGCAATAGATACGCCAGGTATACATGTGGTGCGAGCATAAAAAGCGACCCGCACAGATGCACATCACGCCAGCATAGGAACGGCGTCACTTATATATTCACAATCATTACGTATTCGGCGTCATACTTTGCAACTATACATGCATAACATGAAATACCTTTACTGCGTGTACTATGGATGGATGTTATTTTCTCGAGACTTGATACATATGTGTGACTAGCAGGGTCTAAAAAGATTGATCGAGATAAGCTTGGGGATGAATTAACGACAAAATACTGTGACTGTGAAAATGATTCGTACATTTACTTGTTAACTTTACTGAAGTATTCATTTAGACAGAGAGGACTGCAAGCTTAGAAATGTTCACCTTCAACTTCAAATATCAAAAGCTCGACAATGAAAAGTGAAACGTCGCACATACATTCTACGACGTTGACAAGCTTTTCATTCATCAAAGAAAAACAAGGCCGGAATACGCCGCGCGCTAAAGTAGGATATAGTTATGAATATCTGCGGTAACAAGTTAGCACGTCCCGTAACACGCCTCACATGCAAATTATAACATTGCGTAGGAGGATGAGGATCCCTTTTCGCCCTCGCGCTTCCCTACGCTCTTCCCTCCTCGATGTGTGCTCAGCCCGGAAGATTCGAAACGTAACGCGCGCACGAGGTGTCGTCAACGTCGTCGCGTTGATCGCTTGTCTAGCCCGACGCGCAGAGATCGCATTGGGGATTCAGCGCATTGTGCTGAAGAGAGTTAGCTCTAAGAACAATGTTTATCCTTATATGCGCGTTCGCGGCAGATATAGAATCTGGAATCCTCGAGGATTTTAGATCAAATATTTTACATTCAAAAATACATTTTGATACATGTTGTTATGTATTTTAATAATCAAAGTTTGTTACTAATTTGTAATTAAAAAGTTTAGCCACATTCATCTCAACTTACAGTTAAATTTTCATTAAAAATTGTTTTCCAACTTCATTTCGATTCGCTGCTTTCAATGCCACTATACGCAAGCTCAATTGCCGCAGCGGTGGAAAATCATGAAATACAATAATCCCCCCAGCCAGTCACCGCAATGCGCTTAAGTAACCAAGCCCGAGATTCTTCCGGCTAACAATAATGACTTTTTGACAGGGAAGCAAATCAGCCCTCCGATGCGGCGTTATAATAAGGCAACGTAGCGAAATGTAAAATAAAGAAAAGTCTTAACATCGCCACCCCCCGTCTCGGCATAATCGTGGAAACTCGAGCTTACGAAACTGTCACTCATCTTTCTCGCTCGCTCGGAACGCGGCATGAAATAAAAAAAAAGCTCCGTACACGGCGAAGCAAAATAGCTGGAAGCCCTGGCGATTATGTAAATGTTGCTTATGGAAGCGCAACAGATGCCTTTCTTTTATATGCTCGCAAGCTCGCAACGTACAGCGCGTCGGAATATGCGCGCGGCTCCCATAGATACGAGGCGAAAGCCTCGGCATAATCCCGATCGCTCGCAAGAATATTGTTTAGACTCTAACGAAATTCCTTTACAAATTCCTCGAGCTGTACACGGTGTATCCGCGCGTGTGCGCCGCGTCGAGACTTTGTCCGTGAGTGACAGGCAGAGAGAGAGAGAGAGAGAGAGAGAGAGAGAGAGACTTACAACCGAGCAGAATAATAAGCAAAACTTTGAGATCGATGGAAATTTCTTTTCTCTTGGGTGGTGCGCGCGAGCGAGAGAGCTCATTATGCCGGTGATTCGGCAAAATTTCGTGGGTGTTTTTGCGAGAACGATATTATATGCACGAATGAGAAGAAAAGTAATATGGTTGCTGGCACATTGAGCGCGCGCGAGACTGCAGAGAAGATTTGCGAATTTCGATTTAAGGAACTTTTATAATGACTCACAAAGTAGAATTCGCTGTGTAAATTGATATATCTTTACATAATCCAGAGATTTAAATCGATTTTTCTTGCGAGAAGGTTGCTTGTGTAATTTTATAATCAAAGTGAATTTGACTCGCAACTTTTAAATGAGTTTTACATTTTATTGATACAAATAATTTATGAACAAAACAGCATTAAGTATTATTTTTAGAAATGAAAATATTTATTTATCAACAAAAATTTGTTTAATCTCGAATATTTATAAAAAATATAAGTCAATACAATACAATTTATAAGCAAATAAAAAATCAATGGTGTACTTTTGTTAAATCCGAACGCAGAGTTGGGTTTTTTGTAATATTACAAGCTTCTAAGAAGAAGTAATGATTGTTGTGTTTGCATTCTTTGAATGCTCTTCAGTTGCGAATTCTCGTGTGAAATATACCACTGAAGCTTACAGTAGAAATGGCTTTGATAAACAATTTTAATTTGATTATTTGTATATTTATTTTACCCATACCAAATTTTTTATCAAACTGCACTGGAGTCAAAAAACATGTCACATTTATTTTATAATTTATTTTTAATTTTTCGACGAACCGCGTTTGGATTTCAAATGTTCTGCATTAGTGTACTTCGTCAGATTACGCTTTTGTACAAAAGATTTGTCACACTCTTCGCATTTGTGTTCTTGGTTTTTTTATGGACCACGGCATTATGTTTATACAAGTCTTTTTTAAAACCGAATGATTTTTCACATTCCTGGCAATTGTGTTCTTTGATTTTCAAATGAAGTACATCTATGTGTGTCATAAGATAACTTTTTTGTCCGAAAAGTTTGCCACACTCTTCACATTTGTAATCTTTGATTTTCAAATGCACTTGATCTATGTGATTCATCAATTTGTTTTTCCGAGTAAAAAACTTGCCACACTCTTCGCATTTGAGATCTTTGATTTTTTCATGAATTGCAGCAATGTGTCCATTCAAGTTTTGTTGTGAAGTGAAAGCTTTTTCACATTTCTCGCACTTGTGCTCTTTGAGTTTCAAATGAACTGTATCTATATGGGTCATAAGAGAACCTTTTTGTCCGAAAAGTTTGCCACACTCTTCACACTTGTGCTCTTTGATTTTCAAATGAACTAAATTTATGTGCTTCATCAGATTACTCTTTAGCCCAAAAGATTTTCCGCAATCTAAGCATTGATGATCTTTGATTTTCTCATGAATTGTAGTAATGTGCATATCCAAGGCATTTTTATAACTAAAACACTTTCCACACGCATCGCAAGTGAAATTTTTGATTTTTTGATGGATATTTATTATGTGGACATTCAAACGTTGTTTTGTGATAAAGGAGTGTCCACAATTTTCGCAAACAAAATTTCTTAGCTTCAAATGAATTCCATTCACGTGATGGTCCAAGCTTTTTTTGGATGATAAAATCTTACCGCAATAATCGCATTTGTGACGTACTATTTCATTTTCAAATCTATGCTTTTCCACGGCTGACATTGTAAAAATCTCCTGTATCTACTGGAACTAGCATTTCTCTGCTGTTATTATTTCAGATCTTAGGTATAATTTGAACTTTTACACTTGGCCGTTGAAATTTTGTTTACATCGGAACCTACTTATCGAGTCACCACATTACGCAAATTAATTTGTATTCATTTGAAATTTCGAGTACTCGGGATGGCGCGGCTGTTACTTTTGCTCATGTTAGCTTGTCGAGATTTCGATTTTACAATTTTTAAATGCTAGGTGAGCTTGCAATTGAAATTACATTAGATTTATAGAAGTGTAGTCGTAGACTATAAGCCATACGTTCAACAAAATCAAGTCTAGTGATCAACAATAAATGTAAAGTAGTTGTCATTAAAAAAATTTAAATAAATGAATAACAGAGATATAAAATGAGCAACAAAATGACTAATACTCATATTAACTTTAATTTTATCAATAATTTTATAAATAGATTATATAGTTTGCATATCATCAATTTTATGTATATACCGTACACAATCCGTATATAATTTTTCCACCTGATCGAATTATGAATCAACGACGTTACACAAGTATTAAACCAAAAAAGAGTTCCGACCCTGAGCAAGATATTTTATGGTAGCATCTTTTACAGAACAAGACTTTCCGCGCACGATCGTATTCCATTAAATATCCCGCGAGGACGAGCCGACTATCCGACGATCTTATACAAGCGGACGCATTTATTCATTTGCCATTATAAAATACCTGTAATACATACACATGCGCGCATGAGCGACGACAGATGCACGACGTCAATATTCTCTATGTTCGTGCGCGCACCAGCATATACACTGCGCGCATAATATGCTAAACAGATTCTCGCAGCGGCTCTGCTCTTTTGAGGCCTCCTGCGTGTACGCGCGTACTCGTTATCGCGTTGCTGCATCGTTCTCTCCCTCTCAGCTGTATTATTATCGACTGCGGCAGATGAGATTACATTTTTCAGATTTAAACCGACAACAGAATCGCGATTCAATCACTCGCTCATCAGTTTTCATTTATTTTTTACTATGTTTTTTTTTCTGCTGCAATTTCTCGTAACATCGCAAGAACACCGGTGTAATATTTTCCATTTTCTTTCGGGACGGAACGTTTCATTTAATTGTAATTTCAGGATGTAAAAGAGGAACACAGGAACAATTTACAAAGGAAATTCTAAAGAAATCATATTTATCGTGCCATATTTTCTACAATTTACTAGAAATGAAATACTTTCATATTGAAATAAAACTATGCTTCAACGTTCGAATGTAAAGTGAATTATTTTAGCAGTCTCTTTTGAATTATTTTACGTTCGCGTTGAGAACATTACGAATCTGATTATATTTCGATGCTAATAAAGATATAATATTTACTGCTTATTGCTCATGTGAAATTAACTAATATATTTATTTGACTCGCACGGCGCATGAGATACTTTATTAGACGCACATGTGCAAATTCTTAAATGGGAAATCGATGTTTTAAAATGGACGCCAGCCGCTTTGATAATTCATATCGATTTTATGAAATAGCTTGAATAATACGAGCCGCGGCGCGCGATCCCCTGCACTACCAGGAGGACCATTAATTCTTCTTCGGACGGAATTTCCTCTCGGTATATGAACGATACCTACTCCGAAGCTCCGTTGCATGTATATATCGCGTATAAGTAAAGGATTGCGGCAAAAAAGGACGATTCATCGATCGGTGCGTCGGTCGAGCAACGTGCAAAATTTCCGTCGCGAATCTTGGTCGCGCGCGTGCACATGTGCGCGTATAAAACGCGGCTAATCCCCCACGTAACAACGGTATCAACGTAGGACCGGCAAATTCTAATCCCTCGTCGAGATATTTACTGTAATCGCTGGTCAGTTATAGTACATTTAATATCCCCAGTGCGGCCAATGACTCATCTCCCTCACGTCTTTTTGTGTATACCTGCGACATCATTTTCGCATAAAGGTCTCGGCCATAAAGCCGCAACACAGCGGCTACTCGTTAAAGTGCTATTTGCTGCAGTAAGTTCAATTTTTGTATATAGCTATGGGTTTGCTTTCTCCGGGACAAAAGTAGTCTTACGGTATATTCTGTGAAAATGATGATTAATTTTTCTACTCGAAAAAACATAATTATAATTATACTTTTCCCTCGTTCATGATAATAAAAAGTTCAAAGAGTTGAATAAAAATCAAAAATGAATCATTAAATTAAAGAGAAGTAGGCAAGTAAAGATAACACTTTTAATTAATTTAAAGATCGAATATGCTAAAGGATATAACTTGCAGACAAAAGTATAGACTCGAAAAGCTTTTCAAAAGTTTCAAGAAGAGCCTACTCGAACAAAGATTCAAGGAACACAATTTTTGGAAGTATCTCCATCGATTTTGATTCACCACAACAGTTGATATCCACTCGAGAAAAACAGGTTTTCAAGTGGCCCCCTTCCCACTCGATCCCTTTCAATTGCGAAGTTGCACCTTTCATTAATACCCATTTATGGCGTGCATTATCTCATTTTATCAGAGTATACATCGTATTCTTCGTTGCACACGCGTACCATAATACACAGGCCCGAGCATATGCAGATAAAACTTTAGCGCTCAGGAGCAATAAAACGACATCGTTATGCCACATATTCGCTACTAGCTCGAGCTCGCTTGCCAAACCGATATTTGTTTCTATAGCCACTCACGTCTCTGTCTCTCTGTCTCTCTCTCACTCCCACGAGTTCGGAACGGCAGCAACACATACACACATATCTGAAATAGCTTTCAACTAAATAATCCAACGAAATACGTTCGTCGCCCGAAACTTATATGAAGAAATACTGCTTGCAATAAAATTCGCGCTCGGTGCTGCGCGTCGCGTGCTGCTGAGTAGTGCTGCAGCGGCATCGCAGCAGCGAGCCTATACGCGTGCACCTATACACACACACACATATAGAAATTTACGCTTTTTATATTCGATCGTGAAAACGCATGAATTGACTCTTAAAATAGCTTTCCTTCAATAATGCGCGTATAAATACTAGTTAAGTTCACCGGTCTGGCATCACTTACTCGGCTCTGCTTATAAATCATGCGATATTCGTTTTATTCTCTTTTTACGGCGAAACGTTTATGTTTATATTATTTAATCAAGGGCTGGCTTGAGATTTTTTTCGAGCGCATTAGCGCAAAGAAAGGCCGCGTCTCTTTTACAGGATCTTAAATCGACACTGAGGACATTTTAAACGCGAACAATTGACATGAGGTATGTGCACGCGTGTCTTGATTATATTCGAAGCGGCAAACGCACACACGTCGGTAAACAGTAAATTGTCAGATCAGCGATGAAAGTGTGCAGTATCGATGGAAAATTTATTACTGCACTGATGCGATGGCTACTTTATTTACAAAAATAATGAAATGTGTCGTACGTACTCTACGATACCTTCGATAAATGCCAAAACAATGTGAAGCAAACTAAAACATTATTAGAGAAACTGGGATTCATAATTAATTATGAGAAATCACGACTGGTCCCTTCTAAATGTTGTCGCTTTTTAGGCATGATAATTGACACACGCTTATAATGTATTCGACTCTTAGAGAAGAAAAAACTAGAAATTCTCAATGTAATTGATTATTTTTTAAGTATTGCCAATTACAGGGTCCAAGACTTTGCCAAACTCATAGAAAAATTTGTATAGCTAGCACCCAGCTTTGGCAATTGAGAAATTTTATACCAATATTGAGAAGGAGAAGAATACAACCCTCATATCGTAACTTATACAGTACTTATGTCAATGAGAATAAAACGGCGATAAAGGCTGTGCCGAAGTCAAAATTTATTAAAAATAGTTTATTCTTTTAAATTATTTATTAAAAATAATTTACTTTTTCACTTGCAGGTTTACAGATGAAGGTACTCACCATCTAGTGGTAGAAGCTGAGACTGAATTCGTATATTTTATAAGAAATCACGCCAAAAACACTGCAGTTATACAGTTACTTATCAGTACTTACTTGTACAGTTACTTTTACTTTTTCACTTGCAGATTTAGAGATGAAGGTACTCGCCATCTAGTGGTTGAAGATGAGACTGAATTCATATATTTTATGAGAAATTAACGCAAAAATAAATCAGTACCGGCACATTAAATTTTGGCAAAGATTTGAGGATACCGCAAATAAAAAATAAATTAAAATCCATTGGTAACTATAATTTCAATATCCGAATTTACATTAAATCAGCATTAAATTTAAGCTTGTTTTAACAATACATAAATTATTATAATACTAATAATAATGTAAATTTAATTTTCTTATGAATAAAAAAATTGTATACAAAATAAAAGAGAATGAATACGAAGTGAGGAGTGAAACTTCACTCTCATCTTCAGGCGGTAAAATTTTACTTTTTACTGGATCGCGCAGCTCGAGTACGCAACGACGACGTCGACAACACGGTTTTGCTCTCAGCCGGACAAATGGTAATAGCCCTTAGAGAACGAATGGAATATAACAACGTTTCGAAGTTACATATACAGGGTATTGTAGCGTATATATAAGCGATCCGCGTATATATATGCGAAGAGAAAAATGGACAAAGTCAGCCATACTGTCTTATTGAGTTTGAATGATTCAGGTCATACCTCGGAGCTACTGTGATCACTGCACAACATTGAAAACTCCTGTAGAGTCAACAAATAAAAATAAAAGAAACAAAAAAACTAACTCTAACTTGTTGTTTGACTTGAATATACTTAAATTTATAAATTCTAACAGCATACATTATATTTTGAAAGTAAAAACATTTTTGTCTAGAAATGAATTATATACTACTGTCATTAAAATGACAGGTAATGCACTTGTCCACAAAGATGTAATCAGCATGAATACATTTAAACAGCTCCCGTCTCTCTTTTTCAGAAAATTCTCAGTTTACGTAAATGGCACAAAGTAACTTAATATTTACGATAATTGCTGATTAATTCGTGTACATAAAGACGTTTAATTCAAAGCCTGCATGAGTCTCG